GTGATTCCACCCGAGAGACTGCTTTGAAGTCAATATTGATTACTTGAATTTGTTAGTAATGGTATGTAATATTATATTATCTGTGGTAATGGCGACGGTCGTCATTCAACAATTGACTTTCCCTCATTTTAATGATAATTGCATGAATTTAAAATATTTTATTGTAACCCATTTTTACTTAAATATATCTAATTGTCGAAGCCTCATTTTAAGCATAAAAATTCCTGTGCTAGGAGGCGCTATCCTTCTATAATCTTATAGTTAAATATTATAACTACGTAATAAATTGCGTATTATATACTAAGCTACAGTTAGAAGAACCATTATGTTAGCATATATTTTGCCTACATTTATCGACTACGAATTGCAACGTGTGCAGATTTTGTAGTGTAAAATATAAATATAACATAGAAAGCTATGTTATATTTATATTTCTCCATAGTTCAGCAATTCTCATAAGTAAAATTTTAAGGGCATGCCCTTCAAACTTTGAGATTGCTGGCTTGGAAGAAGCTAGGAAGGCTTCTTAATTGCATGCCCAGGTCAAAATTTTCCAATATCTCCAAATTCACAGAGGAGCTGGAACGACATAAACTGTAAATTGACATACGACAATTTTTTGAGCTGTAGTACAGGTTCGGCGCGTGCTAGGCTTTTGGTCGTGGGTGATGAGGATGAGGATGAGATGAGGCCGGCTACTGGCTTCACGCGTACTCTTCGTCAAATACAAGAACATTTCTTGAACCTGACACACTCCGAATAGCAACCTGTCTACGTCTTGGGGTTCCGGTCTGCGCTCCTCACAAATGTCCCTGTGGCAGTGATGTCGAAAAACTAGGACATCACGGACTGTCATGCCAAAAAAGTGCAGGCCGTTTCTCGAGACACGCCGCACTTAACGATATCATACGCCGGTCCCTTGCCACCGTCAACGTGCCAAGTCCACTTGAGCCGACTGGTATTGCAAGAGACGATGGCAAGAGACCGGACGGTATGAGTTTGATTCCATGGAAGATGGGCCGGGTGTTGGTATGGGATGCAACCTGTTCAGACACGCTGGCCCCATCCCATCTACATGGAACCAACAACAGAGCTGGTGCGGCGTGTGAAGCGGCTGAAAAAGCCAAAGCATATGAATACAGGGGTCTGGGCTCCGAATATGAATTTGTCCCATTCGGTGTCGAGACCCTTGGTCCGTGGGGTCCTAGCGCTATAAGACTTTTCAAAGAAATAACGAAAAGGTTAGTCGACATCACAGAAGACCGAAGAGCTGGCAGCTACCTTGGACAAAGAATTAGTCTAGCTATTCAAAGAGGGAACGCTGCCAGTATCTTCGGAACTTTGCCTAAAGGGACCCCTTTTAATAATATATTTTAGTTATTATATTATATTTTTAAGCTTTTTAATTTTAAGGTTGTAGTTGTATAATTAAGTTATGTAAATAATATAATTAGTAAAGCAACTTAGATATTTATTTTTATCACATCAGCTAAGAACTGTATTATCTGGATTGAGGTTGAAGCAATCTTCTCAGAGATAGAATATCGTCAACAGTCAGACAGACGTATAAATAAAGACTATTCTTGTCTAATCTATTTCACGATATAAATTAATATATAGTACAACTGTGGTTAATAACAAATTAATGTTATAAAAGGTTCTTAAGCCTTTTCTAGTGTGCCAGGTAGCTTTGTCTCGTCGCCCTTTGATTTTGTACCTTTCAATTAACAAGTAATCATACACGCCCCGGGAACCCTTTCATTAAATACTGGTACCTAATGAGTTTTCACCCTTCGTTGATTAGTGGACATCGGAACTGTGATAGACCTGCACTCACCAAGGTGAGAATTTACAAACTTTATTTTAGTTTACAAAATATGGTTCAGCGTCGAGCAAATTGAATTATGTACCTAAATGGTAAGATGTTTGTTAAATGATTAAGGTTAGTTAAAAGTTTTACAAGGTAAGGAGAAAATTATAATTGCACTGAGTCTAGCAAATATTGTGTTCTTTAGAGATAATATCGTTTAAGCGATATTTAAATATTTGTTTTAGTAATATTATTAAAGGGTATTAGCGGTAAGGGTAAAAGTCAATATTGTTCGACACCGCTTTATTAGACACTAATTCTATGGGTTTGAAATTTAAATCAGTTTTATATTAATATTAAGAATATTTAATAAAAAGAAAAAGCTTAATAGATATTAAGTTTCAAAATAGGTAAAATATATATTTTTTTTCATTTTATTACCTTACATTAAAATAAATTTAAGGTCTCTAAATGTAAAATTACTTAGGTATATCGTAGTGATTTAGTTTATGTAATGGAAAATGTAAAAAATAACCTCTTCTTTACCTTATCTGGAAAGTTTATGAACAGAAAATATTATTATTTATAGACTAGATAGATATAATTTTACAGTAGGTATTTTTGTCATAACTTATAAAAAATTAGGATATTCACATTAATTAAAACGGTGCATATTAAAACTGGTTTGAATTATGAAGGTTGTCTATGTAAATACCATAAGTGTATAATATTTACAGCGAAAGGCAGAATTACGAGTAGTAACGGTTTTACTCTCAACTCATCCTCATTAGTGTTAATGGCGGGCGGTGGCCGCCGATATCTGAGACACGACCGCTTAATTAATACTGACGCCTTGCTCTTTGTCAGATAATCCATAATCGTTTCTGATATTTTATTACTGTTAATCTGTTTAACTTCATTATTAAGTATAATGAGTTAAATAATATTAGAAACTACCTATATCATCATTATACATACATGATATTTACTATGATAATACCTTTATTATTCAAGAGCTCTCGATCTAAATATTATCCCGGAACCAAACATCCCGTTTATGTAACATGTACAATAATAAACAACCATGAAAAATGTTTAAAATAGTGTATGTTATATTTTATAGGGGTGTCATATTCTCTATGTAAGTTTATGATTAGGTAGGATCAAACCCATTTTAAGGTAATTCTAAAATACTTTTCGTATTAGGTATTCTGTCTTCTAAACCTTTAAAACGTTATTTTTATGAAATCAGTACTAGAGCAATTAGATATAAAAATAACAGACAATATGAAATTATAATCCTTTATTGTGAACAATGGACATGATTTTGAAAAAATACGTAGGAAATTGTAATGATTACAAACATTCGGGATATTGTTAAAATTATACATTTCAGTCTTGTCACAGTACAAATTGACCGACTATACTGTTTAATTACGATTACCTTAGTCTTACGCTCTAACGTTTCCTTATTTGTAACATATAGAAATACTGGTAAAGAATTCAGTATTACATCAAACTATTCTGATAATTTTACGCTATATACATGAAAATAACATGTAACTAGATATTTTAGTCATGTATTTTCCAGCTCATGTTTATTTTATGAGTACCTAATAATAAATGATAAAATATACCCGCATCTACAGCAGAACTCAAGTAGCTACTTTGGTGTTGGTGAATACCTAATTGCCAACTTATAAATATTTACATCGTAATAATCTTGAATGTAATGAAAGCCCGTTATAGACACGAGTATATCTCATCATAGGTATATGAATTTATGAAAGGGACAGTAGGTAGGGCAGATACAACTTAACGTCGATGCCAAAGGTTAACGTTCTTCCTGTCTTTGACTTTTAATTGAAATCATTCTTAAGATTTTAGAGCAAATATACCGGCAGCAAGAAAATAGTCAATTTACAGATGAGCTTATATGATCAAAAAGCGAATTCAGAATAATACAAATAAGTATTTTAAATTACGGTACTTTTCATAGAAAATCTACGTAGCTTTAGGTAATTTTATATAACTTAAGAATATACTGATAACCAATGATTATATATCACAAGCAATCAACATTCTGATTTCAACATGATTAAGTATTTTCTTGTAGATTATATTTTCTAAAAAATCTGTAAACATCAAATTATTTATAAAATATTAGAAACAGTCTCCTAAGAATGTTTTCCTGTAGCTTCCACGATTAAGGTATTAGCCGTTTACTTTCCGTCTCAATAATCCACCCTATTTATTTAGAATAGAGATCGTGCAAACCTCACAAGGGATAATGTTACTATATATTACTTAATACTTATTTCATAGAAATAAGCAGATATATAAACTTAACATACGAGGCAATAGCTTCTTGATTCTTAACAATCTTGTGTAGTTTCAAAGATATACTTATATATGTACGTACCGACATTATAGGATTCCTTAAATTATGAGAAACAAAGCTATGGCCTTGTTATTAAGCTCAACAAGATTCAATATAAAATGTAACATTATGTTTGTGATTTCACTCATGTCTCGTAAACTAATAATAATATAATATTCCATAAATACTAAACTACATAACAACTGTACAATACAGTACATCGATTTTGTATCATAATGACCGAAACTGGTAAAATATATATTAATACCCGTTCTTAAAATCGTAATTAAGTAATGCAATATGAATTTACAATAAAATTTAAAAATAACATATTAAACTAAGAAATTTTTTATAAATATTGTAAGGTGCACCGCTTCATGATGAAAAACAATTGGCATATACGGATTCCAAATTTGTTTAATTTTGTATCTATGATCATATATTATGTAGAACGCTTGCTAGAATAAAATTATTCCATATATAATCTGCGCAGTTAGTAAAAGAATGTATCCAGACAAATACAGATCACAAATACTTTAATTAACACTGATCTGCAATTTAAATTCAACGAACCAATTTAAATTTTAATATTAGGCCGACTGTTAGACCGACACAATTTCTAAGGAATTTTATCTAAAACTTATATTTGCATAAAAAATACATAGATATAGAACTCTATATAAATATGCTAAAAATACCGCAACATTCAGAAATAGGATTTAGATGGAAGCTCCGAACAAATTGTCTTCAGGTTGTTTTCTTTTATTAAAAAGAACCTATAGCAAACAGGAAAGAGGCTTCGGGTATTATTTCTATTAACATTAGGTACATTCTTTATTATCATTGAATTTGGTAAATACCAATGACATTGTATCTACTTATTCTTTTATTTATATTGTACCTATATGTATATGGTATGTGTGGTAGGTACATGTATACTTCGCCTACAATATGTTGTAAGATATATTTTTGCATTTACAACTTATAAAAAAGTTCTATAATTTGTAGACGTAGTACATTATAATAATGCTTAATAGTTTAATATTTGAATTTGGGGCAATTCTACGTATTTTTTTGGTGCAAACTGGTAAAAAGAAATAGGTGTATAGATTGAGCCGATTTGTTTTTAGACGAAAACTAGAACTTTACGTTTACTATTCATAATAAATATCAGCTTGAAATTCAGATTGTTACAGAAATATTAATTTACGCTGTGCGTTTTGGATTTTTCATGTAATAAATTTACAATACATGACGTTACCTAGCTTCAAAAAATTATGTTGTAATTTCACCTAATTTAATTTGGACGGAGTACCTATATTATGTTAGTAATTTATATATTATTAATAGATTAGATTCATTACCTATTAATAAATATGTCTACATAATCTAAGCGGCACACCTAATCAGATTTATTATGAATGTGGTTATTAGTTATGCGGCTGTGATGTAATTCAAAGATTTTTTTATCTGAGGCAATACCCATAATAAAGGTATTATGAAACTTCTTTGGCACAAAATTATGTTTCATTAAGAGTCTATATTTTTGTTAACAAGAAAACATAAATAAATTGGAATAGTATTCATACCCGATGGAATTTATATCACGTTATTTACAATTATATTAATTAACTTTCAGACATACATACATTCATATAATAAGAAAACAAAGTATTACTGCGATACGCGCGTATCCCCCACAGAGAGACCATAGATTTTTCCCTTACTACACACCTTTACGTAACATATCATAAATCACCACGTAATATTTTTGCAGCCCTCTACGAAATTCTCATAACTATAGTATTACATATTACTTACTCTGTGAAATCTATCCCTTGTGTTATGTTATAAATCTAAGAAGATAAATAATTTTCGAATAATTACACCATCTCTTTGTATCGACTCAATATTACCAAAATATTATTAGCGTTTTTGTATTTTACATAATAGCTAGTTAGAAATTATTAAATTACAATTATATATTGCAACAACATAAAAAAAGTATAAGTATAATTACATAAATATTATATTTATATGATAATATTCCACTCGCATGACAATAAAACTTAACAACGATTAACTTAAGCACACAGTATTTATGAAGTTAAATGCAAATTATATGCATGGTATACATATAACATTTACAATTACAATTATAACATTGCAAATTTTACAGTTCTGTGCTCATCTCGGCTGCTCCCGGAGGTTTAGTGTTACCAGACGACTTCAAAGCACAGTCTGACGCATTAACAGTTGAATCGTTTTCCGGGCTCAATTGCTCTGCAACCTGTTTATTAAATAATAATCCAAATAAATATACGACCTCTACGGAACGATTAGCACAACAATTTGAATTCTAATTAAAGAGAGAGAAACAGTGATTGAGAATAACATTTGACAGTTAATTATATTTAATCACAAAACAATTAAAACACGAATCGCAAAACAAATAAATAAAACACAGTTACAACAGGCGTTAATTGTTAGTGTTGTGTTAGCGTACTAAGCTAAAGAACCTGAACCCATGCAAATACATAACACAAACTCTGTGAGCATACAGGAGACCGCGGTGTAGAACCGCGATCACGAACAAACCAAGGGTGCGTGCAGCTACTCATTCCGCTAATGGTTGCGACACATATAGTGGGTCTCCAGTGCCGGCCTTACTTACTGCGTGCTTTCTATGAGAGGCTTAAGAATAATGTCGAGGGTGTTGTCGTGGCGTACGTGCGCGTGCGCGTGCGCGAGGCGAGCGTGCGTTCGCGCCACATTCGCGTTGTAGTCGCGACTGTCGCGCGACTCTCGCGTCGGTCGCACGTACCGCCGCGCCAGCGACCCGCTCTCGCCGACCAATATGTTGTTGTTGCTAGCATGTCTCTGCGTATCCCAATTCATATATATGTACATCAAGCTACCGGTGCTCACCATACTTTTATATTAGGTACATAATAATAGATATAAATAGAATCTGAAACAGATGTGATTTATTTATGTAATAATCACCATATAACGCGCAGATAATGTACTAAAGTGGCAATTACTATTGTCAGACCGCGTCTAAATAGTATTTCATCAAATCAGTACTGTAAAATAATAACAGAAATTATTTTATTTCAAATATGTTTTTGTGTTACACTATATTTATTTATAAAGTGCAATTGACTGAATAACCACTATAGCACTTTGAAACCCCATTGTGTAAGCTCACTAAGCATAGAAAGAAGTGAATAGATCACCAGATATCACCAAATATAAAATTATAACAAAATAAGTAGATACATATTTTTCATATCTCCTAAATATACTTAAAATGTCAGTAAATTAGACTATCCTACTTCATTAATTCCTACATCTTCCTCGTATTGACTATAAAAAGACAGTAAAAAATATATTCGTTATACCCAAAAGATTTATTAGGGCGTGGTTACATAATGGCATAAAAGCCTGACATTATTATTTGTTTCGGCAGCCTGTACACGGTTAGCTTTATCAGCGAGCCAGAAACAGGAGCTGCGGATTACTACCGACGGCCCTCGTAAGCTAATATAATTCCGAAGGCATTTTTCACTTTTTAACGAGTCTCTCTTCAGGTAAAAATAAATACAAAGGGCGGAACCTACATTATTTTAATAATGTTTTGTGTTTTCATTTCTGCTTGACCGACTGAATACAGAGGGGAAGTCGGGGATAAAGTAATATTATTATTTAAATCTCCACGAATTCGTTCGGATGATGATGTGGTTTATTCACGTGTTTTAATAGAATACAAATCAAAATAAAAGAAAATAATTCTAAAGTATTTTATAGTCTTAATACATCTAGGTAGGTACCTACTAATATACGATACCAGAATGCCATTTCTATTTGATACCAATCAATGGCCATAATTTTGTATATAGGTACTACCTATCCCCTATTACATAAATATATTTAGTATCTATTTAGAATGGGGTTATCACTTGAATGAAGTCGCGGGTACAGGTATGTGCACAAGCAATATAACAAACTGTAAAATAGTAGTAGTGTTTAAAATTTTCGGTTCTTGCTGAATCACGATTCCATCCAAGCCCATTGTACAATGGGCTTGGATGAGAAATTGCATACAAATCATATCTAATTGAATACATAGGGCTCGAGTAAAGTTGCAAGTTACAACTATAGGGTTTTCAAGGGCCGTCGGTCAGCGGAAGAATGTTAGAAAGCGAAGCTCCCACTCACAAAGAGAGAAAAGCCACCGTCCGCAGCGTGAGGGTATCCGCGGGGGGCGAATTCGCGCGGGCGGCGCGCGGCCACGCTGTCGCTGGCGACCGACAGCAAGGAGCGCTGGGAGCCCGACACGCGGCTCGGAACCGCCGGCGGCCGCCGCGCCAGCGCGCCCGCCCGCGCCGCCCGCGCCTCCCGCGACTCCCGCGACTCCCGCCACCCGCCGCCGGCCACGCCCGCACCGCCCGCGCCCGAACCCGGCCACGGTCTACTCACTGGCGCTGTCGAGCCTCCCGCGCCGCCCTTCGTGCTGTCGCTCGACCTGCCACCGTAATCATATTTTTTTCCCAAAATGAACCCACAATCTTGACTAAATTAGCCGGACAAACAAAGTTTAACCAAACAGTTTTAAAATCCGGTTCTCAAATGAAGTAACTAGACGGAGTAGCTAGGATAGTGATAAAAAAATTACGTTCATAAGAGGGATCTATGTAAATAAATATCATTGATTTTATTGATTGATATTGAAAAAAGGATAATTAAAATCAGTGTTGATTTAACGAAGGACGAAGATCGGTTAACAATAACAGTCAAAAGAAAAGCATTTATTTCAGTTGGTTATTACTGTAGGTATGTAAAGTTGATATTTTTTTTATATAATATAAATCTAAACAGGCATTCTATTCGAGAAAGTGTGAATTTAATTAATTGATTTAGAACAAAACCGGAAGAATCTCAATTAAGTAAAGAAATAAATGTTTAGGGCAATATTTTACCAGAGAAATATTTTATAACAATTCGTCTGCCCAGTTTTGGCTGGCAATTAACTTATTTTAAACTGTTAAATGGCAGCCGTACCAATTTAAAAGAACTGAGGAATAACAGAGAAATTATTAGATCATGTATAAATTTAAATTATAGTATGTTGAAATCACCTCTCAGATGAATACGCGTAATCCTGGTCAGCTCCCAGCCCAGAATCTGTATGTTCGTGCGATACCCTCGCGCTGCCGGTTATCAGCTCACCACTTGAGCTATTACTATTGCTGTTTGTTACTGGACTGTACGGATTATTGTTATTGGAAATCGGTGTAACATTGCCTTTATATCCATTGCTGGTTAAAAAATCATCTCCTTGTCGTCCAGCAGTCTCATCAAAGCTGGGGTATATACGCCTGAAAAGTAACTAATTTTGTGATCCCTGTTGTTTACGTTTATTTTGTGAATGTATTTTGCCTTATTGTACTACATACCTTCCGTGCTTCTCACTATTAGTCCTATGGGTGCTTAATGTACTCGAAACAGATCTAAGTGATCCTTGGTTATGACTTTCATGAGAATTTTTTCCGTGTAATGAAGAACTTTTTTCTCTTCTAGCCAGCGATCCATGCTCGGTTCTAGATAAAGATAATCAAAAAATTATAAAGATGTTAAAAGCATACTATCGTACTGATAAAGGTAGTGTTACACTTACTGTTTATGTTTAGAAGTGCGAAGCTTTGTTTGGCGAGCATGACTTGTCTGAACTACAGTATACGGTATCTCTTTTAATTGTTCTTCAGTCATACCCGTCGTATCAACTAATGAGAATTCTAAATGTTGCTTTAGTTCATTTGGTAGCCATTTCTTGTCATTCGGAGACCCAGATCTAGATCTAATAAACCACAAATTCAAATATTGTCTTAAGTTATTTATAAAAGTTGTTAACATATTTTAAGTCACTAAACTCTATGAAGTTATACCTGTGTTTTCTATGTCTTCGATGTCTATGGGAAGATCTGTGTGTTCCAGTTTCTGGTTCCATTTGTGACCGACGAACATTTGCTACCTACAATATTATTGAAGTCAGAATAGGAAAGAATAATAAAGTCAACAAAAGAGAGAGAATACTGAAATTGAAGCACTTACTTGAACACCACTTCCAGCATTCGTTTGTCGTAATACTTCCTTCCACTGTGACTCTGATTCAATTAGTTCATATTCTCTGTAAAGGTAACATTAGTAAATATTTTGTACTCTATGACTAAAATCAACAGACCCACATGTATACCGATAATAACTGAAATATCGACATTATTATTAAAACGCTTGTTTTCCCAAATTTGTTTGCGTTTGTATCTAAATATAAACGCGAACAAAAAAATTTTATTATTGATGCTATTTAATAACTTAGAAATATATATATTTATGTACATGTAAATTAAATGCACCATCGATGTTATTCTACATTAATTAGCATCTCTAGGTATCTGAACAGATTGTAGATACATTTGAAACTAACTTGGTATCGGGTTGCGAGTCGTCTCTCTCGGAACCAGATTCGTGCTTGTGTCGTGAACGATGTCGCCTGTGTCGGCGACCTGATCGTCCTGAACCACGAGATAGTTCGCTCTCCGCATCCGACTGCTGACGACGAGACCTATGCTTGTGTCTATTTTAAAGACAGAAATCAATTAAGTTTCCTGATGTAGCTATATATTCAATCAAAATATCTTATCTATTATAGACTCTTATATATGTCAAATCTACCACTAGTTCGATGTACTTTCGAGCTAAGAAGAGAACTGACAAAAAACTTAGCTTTAAGAGCTGAGTTTTTTGTCAGTTTTTTCTTTAACAATATAGGATATTGTTAGCAAATAAATAGTATATATAGATTCGATTTGATATTGATATAGTAAAATTATATCTTACATATCATTTGAACCAACTTTTTAGCTCAGTCTTACCTCCAACCTTTTGGTATAAATTCGTACATGTAACAATAATCGACTCATTGACGGGAAATTAACAAAACATAATTAAATTATACACACATTGAAGTAATAGCTTAATTAATAAAAGACATACATTATTTATACTAATACTTTACCATATTGTGTTTAAATTTAATTTGGCATAGTAATAGCACATCAAAGAGATTGTAGTTGTGTAGGTAAATGAGAATACATATGTATTATTAGCCTTACTTGCGGTTAGTTCTGGAATCGTTGGAACTCTGTGAATCAACGGAAGCAGATCGATGACGGGGCGCTGGCGGCGGTCGTGTTGCTGTAGGCGATGCAGAGTATAGTCCGCGCCGCGTCGGAGCTGAGCGAGTAGAACGTGGTGAACTACCACCAGGGCCCATAGAGGGTGGACCCGTCACTTCGCCATTGATTCTATTTAAAAGCAGTGTATTCGTTATTACATTGAGAGAGTCACAGCCTTGTGGTTTACCCCGACGTACATCCTAGATTCACCACTACATTTATATTTGACAATACCTCTGATATCTGTGATAGTAGTCGTGATCGAAAAATATTTATTATTATGTTTTAATTATCTCAAAATATGCAAACTCATTAGCGTAGGCTGTTTTTAGTTCAAAGTTAATGTTACAGATCTCTAGTAAAGCCATAAATTCCGAAAGGAATATTTAAGTTATTTAACAACCCGTACTAGAACAGTTTGTGTAGGTATAATAATTTAGTCGTACAACAAGACTAACGCCAAAGGCACGTTTGGATCTTTGTTGTAGATTCGAAGTTTATTACTAAAATAAGTACCTTACATTTAGGTATACGGTTTAGTATCAATGAATATATGTATTTCTGAAATGTGATTTTACATGAAATGCCCAGCCAAGTGTGGGCAGAGTTGTACGCGTTGGCGGGACATTCGTGAAAGACAAAAGGATGGAAACTTTATTAATAAATCATGATTAAATTTGAAATATTAAATTGGATTCAATATTATTGTAAATGAAATCTAAATATCCAATTAAAATGCTTAATACATACTACTATATATACCTATTATACTTACTTATTATATGCCATACGCTAATGCACGTACTGTAATAATTCAATCGGGATCGTGGTTAAGAGAAATTACTTCGAAGCAAATGGCTTAAATTAATTGGATAAGAATTTGCTGTTATAATATATAAGTTCATTATATTTAATAATATTATTCGTAACTTTACGACTATTATCACATGGGGTAGACAGAGGCAAATGTAAATGTCGTGCTGAACGCACCAATTGACATGCCCATATTTCGCTTTATATAGCGAAATCCATTGTATCAGGGGACGTCCCGCCGAAATTTTGGTATGTTGTCGGTGTTTAAATATAACACACTTAAAATATTTTTTTCTGTCGATCTGATTCGAACATAAAACCTGTCGGAGTAGGAGCCACTAGGCTGTAATCCTCTCATCTCATATTTATCTTATTAATATTATAAAAGTGAAGGTTTGTGAGTATGGATGTTTGTTACTTTTTCACGCAAAATCTACTGAACGAATTTTGATGTAACTTTACAATAAGTAAATTATATAGTAATTGGTGCAATAAAGAGTATAAATAAATAATATAAATAATACATAGGCTATAAATTACATGCGGGTGAAACCGCGAGCATAGCTAGTAAATATATATAAATGTAAACTGGCGGAGACCGCGACTTCGCACCCATATAACTATTTTGAATTTTAAAACACAATATTTAACCCGTTTCTGAGATTTGCTAACAAACAGACAAAAATTCTAACAATCATTGTTTTGTTTTGATGTTCATATATCTTTCATGTCACAATCACAAATCGACCGGTTACATTTTTATTACAATGTAAATATATATATATATATATATATATATATAGATAAACACGCACGAATTCGGTCGATGAACTGAGGTAGGTTGCTTAACTTCGGGAGGGCAGTCTTTTATTCTCAAGTCTTCTAATTTGGGCACTGAAACAAAAAAGTATATTTTACGAAATGCAAACAAAAAATAGAGTTAGCGAAAATGCTTCATAATTATGGGGTGATTACCGTCATGCAACGAAGTGTGCGATGCGTGCGGCGGCCGCGCGATGCGACGCGACGGTGTTCGACTGAAAGTCGGCGGCGGTCGCGGCCGGCTACCACGTCCGCTGTCATCACACTTGTGTATTATAGTCCATTCATATAAAATGTCTAGTAAAAATATACACAACATAAATTTTATATTTATAAGTAAACAAGTTTTTTACTTCCGCAAAATGAAACGACTTTAATCGCCATCAAATTTGTACGCGGCAATTAAGAGAAGTAGCCAGTTACCAATCCCAAAAAAATCTATAAACTCTTTTTATAACTTCTAAAAATAAATAGCAAAAAACCGAAAAATCCATGTAGTTATGTTCAGCTTAGTTTTGTTGTCAAAAGTATCACTTAATATCAATAACTATCATATAATTGCTAAGTCCTCCTATCTTTGCACTGGAAATTTTTACAATAAATTTTCTGCACTATTTTGTAACATTTGAACACTGTATCTATATGAAAATATATTTTTTGACGAGCTGTTGGAAAAACTTACGACTTACTTAATCTGTATTATAAATACAGATTAAGTAAGTCGTAATTTAGTTATATATAACAGTAATTTAGTTATAGTTGCATGAATATAATTATGTGAAATGTACTTTTACAAAGGCCGAGCGAGGCAGAAGGGAAATACTAAACCTCTTATTCATTACTGAAACTAAAACCTTCTACCAACCTACTTTAATAAATAGAATGGTCTTTTAAGTTATAGAAATAGTTCAAAAGAAAATTATGTAACAGTTAATAATAGTTGAAAGTATAAAATAATCTCAGGATATAATAATAATAATCTCAGGATAATTTACACAGCGGCATCTAATCCCAATCTAAGCTACCTAAAGCTTATGCTATGGGTGTATTAGATAACTGATAAATACATAGTTTTTTTCGAAAATACATACATATTGTATACAGAAAACACCCAGACCAATACAAACAATCATCCTCATGAATACAAATGTTTGTGTCGTGCGAGGAATCCAACCTACGACCATCGGAAGTAAAGCGGTTTGCTAAGCCGCTAGACCACCGCGGCCGTCAAATTCGATGTTGATATTAAAAGTACAAAATTTATGTTAAATGCTAATCTGTATGCTGTAACAGGTTTACCTATTTCTCAGTCTTGTGCCTAAGGCAAAAATATCGGCTGAAGCCGGTGAGGTTTGCTGCAGACGGAAGAACGCGTGATGATCAGAGCAGCATCGCCATAGATGACGGCAGGCGGATCTAGTTGGTGACTCGAATCCATATGTCGTTGTTTCATTCTGCATCAAGTTAGACAAGGCAAGACAAGAAATTATGCACTAATATCTAATAATATTAATGACATCTATTCAACTTATCACATGTTACATTTAAAGGTTGTCTTTATGTTACAAAGCTCAGGACCATGTATTATAACACAATCCAAATAAGGTGAATCAAATTACTAAAACTACTACCATAATAAGTGAGAGTGTATAAAACTGAACTTCTATATGTAGAATTAGAATTATGAAATAGTTCTGATCAGTGTTATATTAGTAATGTACTTTAAAATTATTATTTTTTTAATACACTGACTGACACCACAAAATATAACTCAAACAATATTGAAATTAACTACGCTTATTTTAAATGTTCATCAACAAATATACTATTGAAATACGTAATATCTTTTGTTTGTTAATGCATTGTTATTGAAATATGTCGTGAAATTTTTGTCATAACAAATCCGTGCAGTAAATCCATAAAAATTAAGTACTTAAAATTTAATCTCCAAAATTGGTAATTTAATACTAAGAATCTAATAATATTATTACAATATGTACCAATGTTGTCTAGTGGAATGTTAGGTATATCTATTACAGTTTATAGCAAAATTTATGTCATAAAAATAGGTTGAGGCGCGACCGTTTGTACGGGCGGTGGTTATCAGCACTCATCCAGAGCCTTGTAAATACTGCGCTCAGTCGTTCTCGACTTATCTGTAATTGCCTGCCTGCGAATGCTTTTCAAGAAAACGTAAAAGGTGAAGTCCATCTTGCACCACTATTCAAAGTACGCTATCAGTACGAACGATCCGACCAAGAACGAGGTCAAGTGAGTGGAGTGTCCCACAGATTTAGATGTTTATTTATTTGCCGTTTGCCTCAATAAGCTCATAGTAGCTACTTACGTTTTTATCCGCTACACGGAGCATGAAGTAGCGCCCCTTGTAGTAAAGTTTGGAAACTCGGGGCCAGTAATAGTTGGCGACGGTGTGTTTGCCTCGCAACAACAGAAGTCCGCTCGGCGCTAGTCCTAGGAAATACTCCACGCTATCCTCGCCCTATTGTATAGAATATAAGTATACAAGCTAGTTAAATTTATCTATAGGTTTACACAATACATGTAATTTAAGTATTTATGATTTACACTGAAAGGGACATTATTCGTTAAATGAAAAACTTTCATAACAATAATAATAATAAACAGGACCATTTTTAGATATATATAGCTACAACGGAGCGCTGTACCTTATATATACTTTTTCGGTGCAATTATTCGTAAACTATTTTAGTATGTACTATTAATATACGCGAACTTACCAAAACAGGATGCAGATCGACACCGTACATATCAAGCCATTTTACTTTGTCTAAATAACTCAACTCAGCTTGTGCTGGAGAAATACCCCTGAAACAATTAGTTAAACGTTATAAAGTAAAGTAATAAAGATTCATAAACAAAGGGTGCTGTGAGTTGAAGTAAAGTGACAGTCTGTAATCATGTCGTGGCACCGTCCGCCCACCGCGCCGCCCATAGCCCCACTTAGTGTTAAGTAGGTACACACAATCTGCTTGTAATTGCTGTTTTGATGCGCCAGTGGTCGCTAACTGCATCTTTGCACAGTTAAAAATTCATTCAATTAGCCAAGAAGGAGGCGAAGTTTAATTTCCGGGACCGTCTGCGACGCTTTCGTCGCGAATTGTGCTTTCTGAAAGCTTAATTTCTAGCAACTTACTCTCTTTAAACTTCTACCTAGTTACAAAATATTAAGTACAGGTACAGCTTACTTATTTATGTTTAAAATTAAATATACTGGTACAAGCGCACTGGTTATTACGAGTAAGTTAAAAGCAATTACATAAACTGTTTGTCATTCCAATTACATAGAAAAAACATGTTAAAAAATGTGTTAGAATACTAACGTGAGAGTTCGATGTATGTCAGCGGCTCGTGATTCCAGCTCTGAAGTTTGATGTGCCAGGAACCTGAATTCTGACACATATCCCGGTGTATGCCTTCGTGGATCGTAGTCACCTAGTTCCGCTGTGAAAATTAATTACAATTACTACTACTGCTCTACCATATTGTTATAAACCATACCGTTAAGCAAAGTATACAGTACTCTACTGCTTGGAATCCTGCTGGTATAAGGGTGGTACTGCATCATACTGGAAGCAAACCTTTCGGAACAAGCTTCTAGCAAAACTTGGTTTAAGTTTGCGGTAAAGTGTTGAGTGTAGGCATACTGGTAAGTCGATATAATAAAACGTTACTATTTATAAAAGAACATTGAAAAACTTTGGCGACACTTTTATAACGATTTTTTAATTCATTTTTTTTAATATAAATTAATTAGCTAATTGTAAATTATAATTTAGCTAATTTCATAATTTTCACTATGAGCACGTATGTTACATCCTTGTAGTGAGCCCAGCACATAAAATAATACAAGTTAGCAATAAAGAGTTTTAAAATGAACGATATATATATATTTTTAGATTGATACAGTAGGTCTGTGGTACAATATGCCCCCATTCATCTGCTTGCCTTTATTATTCCCGCCTACAATAACGGGAGGGCCCTCTTCTAAATTAATCTTTCTGTACTCCGTCCGATTTCTCATGTCCGCGGTAGCGTAGTATTACAATATTTTCCTCGTATAGCTTCGTCGATGGACTATGAAACTAAGGGTAAACTATCAAAATTAATTACACACAATAGAATATAACAAAAAATATCCTAATGACAGTTGTAATCCCAGATAGAATACATACCGTCACTTCTTGAACTTTTTAATGAGTTCTGCTAAGTATTATTTAGTTTAATTTATTAAAAATTGTGACATACTTATAACACGCTCAAACCATGTGATGGTTATGAAAGCCCATTTCATTACTAAAAGGATAAAAATAACTTATGGTAATACGCTCGTCCTGATTCCAATTTTAGAACATAAATTCCTTGTTTAGACGCGTGTAATCATTCGAAAATATCTGTTACACAAAATACGCTGTAACTGAACTTATATCAAAACAAGGACAGCGTTAAAACAGAATTGTTTATTAGTCATTCTCTAGATCAAATTTAGTCACTGATTAATTACTATTAGAATATATATGTAGGTATTCATAATATTTATTATTTCTTTATTTAATTTGTAATGTACATTGAAAAGGTAGATTTAAATCTATATTTATCAACAAGTTTTATATGAGAATTTCTTGTATTTCCAAATATTTTTTTAGATATGTAGTATACATAACCGTGAACCTTTAAAGATGAGATTAATGTTTATCTAAGTGTTTAACGAGCATGTTACGGCGAGATGTTCACACATACCCGCTTAGAAAAACTATGACCAGCGAACCATCTTGACAGTAATTTCCCCTCATATATCTCTCTTTTTTTCTTCACGGAAATCGCAACATCTGGTTCGCTTACCAGAATATACATAAAGAAATTGGAACCTTTCATTCGAAACGAAAATGCGAGAAGGGCCATCGAAGTCGTAAAAAATGCATGACATTAGATACCTCAATAATATGTCTATGTACATCCTATAAAATTGTTTATCATCTTTAATTGTTCATTGTCAGTATCTAGCGTAGAATGTTAACAATGTAATGTTGAAGCTGATCAGAGTTATTTAGAATTCATTTTTTTAATCTTCTATAATATTATATATATATATATATATTCTTAGATAGGCATACGGTCTTTCTGGCTCTGCAGCCATATCATTAAATGAAGCTCCATTACCGATCTACTCCGATTTCCGGTATCCAGATGCACTCCTCCAGACATATAAAGCACAGAATTAACGCAGGATGGATGAAGTGGCGGCAGGTTACGGCGACGACGTGTGACTCACATGTTCCCCTTAAGCTTAAGGGAAAAATTTACAATGTCTTGTATGGATCAGAGTGCTGGCCCGTAAAAGCGACGGATGAAAGACGACTGCACGCAACTGAAATGCGACTGTTGAGATGGATGTGTGATGTGACTGGATAAGATAAGGAATGAATATATTAGAGGAAGTATAAAAGTGGCGCCGGTGTCGGAGAGATTGAGAGTGATCGTCTATCATGGTATGGGCATGAAATACGTAGGAATGAAGATAATATTTTGAGGAAGGTGTTGCAGAGGTAGGCCGAAGGAGATGATATGATAAGAAAGGGAGTGAATAACGAGACGACTCCGAACAGGGATGAATGGAAGAGAAAACGTTATTACGCCGCACCCAAATAAATGGGATAAGGAAGAAGCAGATGATGATCTTAGATAGGCATACACTGATCAACTGAAATTAAAACAGATATTTAAAGAAACTTTCTCGATAATCTTTTCTAATAGATACGATCACCATGCCGGCCGGCAAGAATATGTTTTTATTATTTTAGACATTTCTAACAAATTTGAAGAGAAGCTAGAAATTCTCAGTATATAATGAAAAACAGGAGTTTGAATAAAAGTAGGCAGATTCATCATCAATGATCGACAAAATGGCTATAAACAACAAATAGTAACTCAGTAGTATCTACATAGTCAACCCTACATATTTTATGTAATTTAAAATTTTATTAGAATGAACCTATATGTACATATGTATAGTATGTATATTTACATATATATTTTAATAATTAAAAATAAAATGTAAGTAAAGCAGCAAAAATAAAATGAATATTTTGATTATCTATTAATCAAAAGTTGCGTATTCCTATATATGTATCGATTTAGCAAATCCAATTTGTTTACAACATATGTTATTACTTATTTGGAAACATCAAAGAACCTCATCGGCTGATGGTTTTCTTCATATATTTACGGCACTGTCGTTTGTATAAGTCGGAGCTTCAGAATCTGTTTCACGTTAGCGGGCGCATAAATGTGAATGATCTGCGGGTAGAACATCGATCTTGTGGTACAGACTAGACAGGCTGCCTGTAGGTACACGTGCACCCAAAAGTGACAAACTATATACAATTACAGACTATAGTAATGATTATATTCGAGAGAATGATTTTATAATAAATCACGCAGAGATTTTATTAACATACATTATTTTATTGGCCGGCAAACTCATTTTATTAGATAGATGAATGTAGAGGAAGTGAGAGCTAAATTTGACAATATTTGGGGACGGTTCATTAGAAATAGATACAATTCATCTTCATGTCCCTGATAAATTTGTCAATTATAAATAGCACTATTTAATGTGTCGTGCCAATAAAGTAATACGCCGAGTAGGTATTACATAGAATATACTCATTTGTCAGATAGCGTATAATTGACTGTCTGACTTGTTCTGAAATAAATATCCAAATATTTGCTGTCTAATTTTGAAAATAATAATCTCGATTAGGACCGTGATATCAAAATGTCTGTATAAGAGCAAACAAAGCAGCTTCTGGCAATTCACGAGTATGTGTAGCTGCATCGATGCATTCTCACGAGATGTATGGTAATAATGTGTGAAATATATATACAATATAGAGTAATATATGATAGTTATAGTTATTTAGAATTTTCAGAGAGCAGGTAAGTAATTTGAATTATTAAAATAAGATACTTATTAAAATAAGAACACTTCACATAAAGAAGGTAATGCGCCCAGATAATTTCGGTGCAAAAGGGCGGAAAAACGCGAATATTTTATGTTGCTTGTTCTATAAAAATACACAAACGAGCATTTAAGCCGCGCTGCGGAAAACTTTTTCACATAAAATTTCGACTTATGTTTCACATTTTCAAATTCATGAGACTGATCTTTAACTTTTACTCTCGGCCTAAAAACGGCCAGGGGCGTTCAGAACTTTTCAATAAACATTATTCAATTTACGTATCTACCTCAGTCTCGTCTATCTCGTATATTTTATTTAGTTTAAAATACTTCTTACACATATTTTAATGATATCTTATAATTAAAATGGCAAACAATCTCGCGACACATCTGGTGATAAGTGGCAACCATTGCCAATAAACATGTACAAAGAGCCACTATCATGTCATCATGTATGGGCGTTATGCCCATTAACTTCACTGCTATATTCTACCCTCCAAGCGAAAAACAGCTTACAAGGAAACCACTTTGCCAGAAGTACAAAATGGATTCATACTCCTTATTGAATTTGTCAAAATTTCAAAGTCCACCTCTATAAAAATACATATTTCTTAATTCAAAATTTTCTATACAAAGGTTTCTTGTTGTGAATCACTGTTCCTAACTATAAATATAATGCAGTCAATTATTATAAAATCTGTATAGGTACATGTTATTAACATAATTTTGCTGTATTATGCTTTGAAACTATAAAATATATGCAAAGCAATCGCCTCGCTGACTAGTACTACCGAGCCCTACACAAGGGTCGGTGATATAGGTGAGATTAGATGCAAACGATGCCTCGCTGCTGATGGCTCATTTACCTCTTGAATAACGCATCGATATTAGACTTTCGCCGCTTCACTCACCGCCCCACATATATTCTCCATAAAGCTAACAAAAAAATAAATGCTGCCATGAAAAATAATGTAATGCCATTTATTTAAAAAAAATAGAACAGTTCTTTGTGTAGAAAAAAAAAATATGTTATATGACTGTTTTATGATTGCCTGACTAATTCTACTTTAAATAATAAGGTTAATTCTGTTTATTAAAATAATATATTATAGAAAGGTTTATTATATAGTTTTTTAAATATATACTTATTAATATGAAATTCCGTTTCGAAGCCAAAATGGAGGTTCCGATAATTCGATGACGGCGGTATCTCGACGATGCAGCATCCTAAAAGGACAACTCTAAACTATCTCCATTGCAGTAGTAGAATGTAATACGACTGAAAAGCATTCACTCGACTATTTATTGAGCCAATTGGATAACTTACAGAATACGAGAAATAGTTGTTTCTTCTAAAGACATTTACTTTGTTATGCTAACACTGAAATCGTTAAGAATTTTAATCTTACGTGGCATTACATTCAGTGGAGTAAGTAAATTTGTTGTTTTGTAATTTTTTATACTACATCTTTTGTGACCTAATGATATATGTATAAGTTAAACAATATAAATTGTATATGATAATAACATCTATTATGTTACCATTGGATGAATAAATATGAAACTATAAATAATATATAATTCTAAGGACAACTAGGAACATTCGTAGTTCTTCTAGAATCATAGAACATATTTTAGGCTCAATGTATTTTTATGGATGATTATGACATAGTAATCTACAGCAATGACTATAGAGTACGTTATAAGTAGGTATCAATGAATAAAGAAAGGATGAGGATGACAACAGTCAGCCTATCGTGATTAATTTCCTAGGAATTAATTACGATGCACAGCCAAATCCAGGATACGATATCACGCGATGTGGATTACTACATCTTACACGTAAATACGGACATTAATCTTCCTATCCATCTAGACAAGAATCCAAACTACAAACTCGTACTTGCTGGATATCTTGTACTACAGTACTACATTTTATAATATCTATTACCTAATGTCGGCTCAAAGTAACTGTAACTTCTAATTTTCTGCAAAACATCCTAAAAAGAACTCAAATTATACTTACGCGACAAAGTCTCAATGGGTCTAATTCAGAATAACGTCTAAGTCATAATCTGTGGCACTCAGCTAGAATTTCTGTTGTAAACAGCGACACGAATTAGAGTTGCTCTGTGTGGCTATAGTGGCAGTAAAATCCGCGACTCCAGTCGTGCTCCGTTTACAAAGTGCCTGCCCGGCCACTAACCCGCCATTTCCCACTTGACGCAGTTGGCGCCCACCTTGATACAGCGACCTCAGTGCCACCATTTCGCGTAATAGCACACCTATTTTATTGACCCGATTGTGAGCACTCGCCAACATTTCCCAGTAACGACTCTTTTACGGTAAACTCTAAAGTACGATCCATAATTGTGATGTCCTCTTAATCTGAAAATCTATACATGCTTTGATACTAAATTATTGTCTAACTGGTGATATTTCGATTTTGCCATCTTATATATAGTTGTATATATTTTAATATGTGTAGAATAACGCCACAACGTCTTTTCCTTAACATATAATCTAATAACAAAATATCTAATAACATTATAATCGGTATAATAAAATTAGTTACGTAGTTTTCTAAAAATTAACGGAGAAGTAGATAAACCTTAACAGCAATTTTTTTTACGTTTACAAAAACAGTGTTAGTAACATGTTTCATAATATTAAAAATACACGGACACACACAAAAGATGACAATTTTATCTCCGGAGATATTTTAGCTAGTTTACTCTATGGTATCATAACAATTGAAATGAGTAGAAAATTTGTTTCAATAACATTAAATTAAGAACATTATTTTATGAATACACAAAATTCGTGTACTGTGTAATAAGATTTTTTTTTTGTTTTATCTGCCCCTTATATCATATGGATCTTTATGGACTATTTTCATAGGTACTTAATCCTTTTTTTATTCTGTACATTCCCTAGTGATATTGGTAAAAATAAAGGCAATAACATTAAAAATACGTGACAATGTTAAATTGAAAGTTCTCAATTCAATTTATTTATGAAAAAACAGAACGTAACAGTTAGGACGTGACATAGAATGCAAAATGAATTATGATGCCGCACCACCCATTTAAATAAAATAGGATATTGCAATAAAATTTTATACAAAATGCTATTATGGTCAATATTGGTACGGCTGTATGGCTATATAATATTAAATTATATAGCCATACAGCCGTACCAATAAATTAAATTTACCAAACCGTGTGTCTACTAATAATTTTCCTTCTCTTGGATATATATCAAGAGTATGTAGAAGAAAATATACCTTTCCAGGAGATATATTAACTATTGATGAAGGTGTGAGTTTGTAGTTCCAATTCAAGCTTTTCATATTGATCCACAATATACAATTCTCAAAAGTTTCGACCAGAACGGTTTCATCCTGATGAATTTAATGAAATTCAAAGTTTATTGAAATAGATATTTACAATCATGAAATTAATTATAATTGTACATAACATTTGGTATGGTCATATTTTACTGAAAATATTTGGTTCAATGTGGCAAGAAGTTTGCCTCCTCCGAAGTTAGAAATGTGTCGTTTAGATTTAATTGAATATCGAAGGTTCAATCCTGCAATGCAGACATTTCTAAGTATTCATGAATATACATATCAGGTTTTATTGATCTGCATATTTTTCTATATGATATGTAATAAATAGAATTTTTATAAATTCTCTAATAAACATAGTACATTCTCTGCTTAATGCCACTAGATGGTGCTGCTTGATTTGTTTAGGTTATTTATTTATAATCCCTATACAAAGTTATGGATACCTTATGTATAAAAATAGAGATAAGTAAACATGAAGTCAGCACACTAGAATGGAGATGAAATGGATGAAACAAACAACCTTATTATAATATACTATTACAGATATAAGCATATTTTCTATAAGTTTGCGTATCTAGGGACTAAAGAGACAATCGGGTTCCATTGGATTAGTGCCATAAGTATATATTACGTTACTGAGTTTTATGGTTTGTAGTTCGTAGCCAATGAGGTATATCAAACTTATTATATAACAAGTATGGTTATTTTCCTCGAAAACTTTTGGTTTTGTTGGAATAAGGGGAAACTTGCTGTTACTGAGACTCCACATAATGACCGGACAAAAACGTCAGATTAGCATCATGAATAGACATAACTGTCGCATAGTACGTATTCGTACTAATTCTAAATAGAAAGGATTATTACTGTTAACTATGTTCCACATAAGTACTTATACTTCCACATAATATAGACTGGTTATCCTGTCTATTATATAATTGGGAGCAAAACTAGAGTAAGAGGGGTAGAGACTATTACAAATGGATTTTTGTACTTTACTGATTACAATGTATGTACCACAATGTAGGATTGCAGATGTAAAATGTAAAAATAAAACTTGGAAAATAAGATAGAAGGAAGTCTGGAAGTACATATCCGGTATATGAAAAAAAAAACAATGTATGTATCACGTCTATGTATCTTTAGAGACGTCTGTAGGTAATTCTTTACTATAGGTTAAATAATCTGACTTGATCGCCTGATCTTTTTATTACTTAACGGCCCGGCGCGGCGTTCCAGTGGTTTTGTATACCAATTTATTTCCCGGTGGTTACGGTTTCGAGACCACACTAAAAATGTATTAATCAAATAAAAATATATGTTTGTATTGCTATATATGTAAGGTACAGTCTATGAATTTGGTTCCTGTTAGTTTATTTTTTTCAACTAATACTATCTAGTTTTTCTAACCGAATCTAAAGATGACAACCTTAGTTGGCTATCACAAACTAGTTGGGATGAAGCGTTGTTTCTGTGACAAATTATCTAATGTACTCACATTGTAGAACATAAGCAGCCAACTCGGCGGCAAGATCAAAGTTCACCGGGAGGCGACCACGGAGCACATCTTGTTTCAGTTGCAGAAACAGCTGATACCTGTTGGGTAAAATTACTATATTGTAGTAAATAACCAAGTTTCTAGCAAAGAGTTTTTTTTTCTGTAACTAGAAAGAGCGTACAATTCAAATTTCATGCAGGTCGTGAAATATTTATAAAATTGTCAAAACAAGTGTTTGCACCAAAACAGATGTCTCTACGTGAACAAACAAACATATTTTGGAGATATATTACATTTGTTGAAAACACCGTGCAAAGACAATGAAGAGACATATTACTTTATAAATTATATAATAGTTATAGAAATACTTTAAACATTATTTAAACATATTTAAACAAATGTAGAAATATTTTAAACTTACATATATATACCAAAACAATCAAAGAATTTAATTTATATCAATATTATAATATTAACAATAATATAACATTAAGTAGAATTCTAGCCCATTTGACAGATAAATATCACATAAATATAATATATATTACGAATATTTTGCAAAGAATATGTACCTAATTATATCCACAAAACTCAGTTGTCGACGTAAGCTTTACAAAAGATTCCGACGCTTAAACGAAATTAAATATTAAAATACCATCGTAGCACATCTTCAAAGAAATTACAGGGAGATATTAAACTGAAACTCATGCCTAAAGGAAGATATGATCGGTAAGTACCTAGCAACTGGCAAGGAGAACGCGGGAGGGTGCTTACAAGGTAGAGAAACAATTGGTCACTTGTAAAAAAGATAAAATTCAACGAATTTTGTATATTCAATAATGGAACGTGGCCTTCAGATGAAATTAATAAAGAGTAAAGTGTCCAATTAAAGCTGTGTATAGAATAAAATATGGGAAGCTTTTATTCATGCCAGGGCCGGATTCTGTTGCTCGTACAGACCGCCTATCCCCATTCATTCGGGTGGGAGTGCCTCAGTTTACGAGCCCGACGGTTTACTACGAGAGCACTATTAGACCTTCTTTTGTTCTCTGCAAACTTTACAACTTTTTATAGTCGTGAAAATTTTACTATTGTAATAAAGCTAAAAATATGTATGTATATTTAATGCATTTAAGCCGCTTTTAATGCATTTAAGCCTTAAAATTGATTCTGAACTCTTAAAAATACATAGGAAATTAGCATAATAGATCTGTTATTTAGAGTCCTGAGATAATTTTGGTGCTGTAGCTTTATTTCAGTACAAAGATCACAGTCAAAGTTATTATATTTTAATTATAAATTTCTATAGGTATATAAAGATTTTTGTTTCCATATGACCCAATTTTTTTTTATGAACTATATACCATTCATTTGATTCGGATACAATTTAAAAAGTACGGTAATAGTAATTATAGCATTAAGATGCAAAGGCATAAGGAAACATAATAAGCTTAAACAATTTAATAATTATGGAAGTGTTTCTGCTAAGGTTTCTGTGCGTAAAGACAAAGTACACAAATGAGTATTCAAAGTAATGACGCGACTGTTTATTATTGTTACGCAGACTACGCAGTGTGATTGCCACAACGGCACTGTTGGTTCCCATTCCCATGATATAACGTTATTATATTTATAAAGCCCGTTTCACACTAGCAAGATGATATACATGACTTGATCAAATGTTGTAATGCTTTCAGTATAAGGTATGTATTATATACTGGTAAACTGTGCAAAGGAGACATGGTATGATTTTATGCGAGAATACATTTCCTAAAGTAGACGAATTGAGTATGTACTTTAGTCTGTGGTAATAAGCTTGAAAGTCGCGAGTACTATTTGCTTCTATGTTTGAGCGTTTGTTAATATGTTAAAAGGGTTTAAAATAATTTGTGTACTTGATAACAGAAACATTTAGTTTTGTAATGTTATAAGATGATAGTGTATACTGTAGAAGCTTAATCGATTTATTATTTATGAACAATTGTATATTTCCTTAATTCATCGTTTATTAGAAAGAAACGAACCTACGTACGTTACTTCTTCATAGAAATATATAATAATAAAAAATCATTTAACATGACCACCATTATAGAGAAAATTTATTTAACATGACCGAAAGTGATCGGGCAGACTTGGAAGGCGGTGAATTCGAGAACGTCCAATTTCCAAATCAGTGCTCGGTACTTTTACCAACCTGATTCGAGGTAGCTTCGCCCTCCTGGGAGTTGTCTACCTTCTAGGGTAGATGTAATGCCTTCGTATTTCGTTAGTGCGATTACGATCATCACTTCCCTTTTTGTTGTTCTTCCTCTTCCATATACGCATTTATTTATGAGACTTTGTTATTTAAATATTCAAGTCAAAATATGTTTTATTCTATTTATCTTTAAAATATTCACACGTTTTAATTAGATATGTTATACATAGTTCAGACGATAAATATTCAGAGCAATATTTCGAAGCGCGTTACGGGTGTGGATGAATTTTGTTGTAAAAATATTTTTATGTAGTAGCTACATAAAAATATTTTTACATTTTTACATTGCATGGATATTTCTGGAATGTATTATTTTTATCAGACTTTATTTGCACGTACTCAGTACTAGATAGAAATGCATATTTTTTATCACAAAATTTTCCCGAAACAATCGGCTATGTAGGTATCGAATTTAATAGTCCAGGCTTTACGTAAATAAACTAACATGGGTTTTCAACGAGTAGCTAGCTGTTAATTAATATGTCCACATTTTTTCCTAGCCAGTCGCAATAGTGCTATTGTCAAAATTAAATGAAATTACAGGGAATTACTTTATTGACATATTTAATCCGACATTTTAAAATTACTCTATGTCACACATAAATAACATTATAAGCTCGTAGCTACTATATTGCTGTGTAAGCGCTGAGTATTCTACATTTTCAACAGATGCGTTTTACGACTTCCTACCCGTACCGCTCTTCGGTTCATATTAATATATGAGACAAGTGACGTTATGGATACGTTAGCCACATTACAACATAGACCACACGTGCATTTCATAGATATAGGCCACGCAGTACTTTGATGTGGTTACGCTATATTCGAAAATTAATGCTCACAGTATACAAACTATTTTAACGTCGATAGGTACTTAATAATTAATTTTACTCACATGTACATGGTGATTAAATTATGATACATCGGAAATATTGTTTTTCAATGATAATTCTGAGAATGTAATAGAAGCTATCGACCTATCTAATGAATTGTGAACTGGTACGGGTAAACTTTGTAAAAAATCGTTTGCATGGATACAGATCACTCAGGTTCTAGGTAGCGAACTATGAAAAAGGACGGGCACAATAGATTTATGTAAGTCGCAGTGCTGCAGGTCCCAGCACCTGACAATAGCCCAAACCCCCCCAATAAAAAAATACAGTATCACCTGTTATATTATATCAGCTTGCTTTTTTAAGATGTGTTTTGATTAAAGTGTGACATATGACAGTAAAATTACAGGATAAGAGGAATGACATATTAATTCTCAGGAATGGTATGGCAGGAGTGGTATCGTAGATATCACATAATTATGGAATGGAATGTCCATAGTGCTGTACAGGTATGTAGGCCATGTTTTTCATCAGCTTGTTTGCAATTTTGAATTATATAAAAAAGTTGTGATTTTTGCCTTTTAATATGAACAATACAGTGCATATTAACGATTTTAATTACCGTACTGACTTACAAGTATTATTATATTTACACGTACCTGGTTTCACTGTTTCATGCTTATATTATATTCACATTTTCTTACATTTTGAACCTTTCTTGGACTTCCACAAATATTTCTAATTCAAAATTAGCCAAATCGGTCCAGTCTTTCTCGAGTTTGTGAGTAATGAGACTACCAAAAGTAAATTTATTTTACATACATTTTACAATGCGGTAATGATACCAAGTATAGTATAATTATAGGAATAAAAAATAAACAGTTACAATTACAAAACAGATTATCTAACAACTATTGGGTTTTTGATTACAACATTAGGCTAAGCTAAAGTTGTAATCATAAACTCAATAGTTGTTTTTTTATAAAACTAACATGTTGTGTGTTAAGCGCATCACGCAATTATAAAAGCGAAGCACTTTCTAAAAGATTTTTATTTTTTATTTGTTACTTATGTCAAATTACTCAAATGATGATATTCTGTAATATATACCTACAGGCTTATATCTACATGTATCTGCATATAATTAAATATGTTAATTTAATTTATTAATATTCATTCCTTTGAGGTTATGGGTATTTAGATATGGATAAGTATTTACCGTGTGATCTCCTCCAGTAATTTGCATGGGTCTGCAGCGTAGAATTTCACGCCGAAGTAGAATGTATGAGGATCTGAACCTCGAAGTTGTCGGCGCAAGCGCTTGCCAACGTCCAGCCAATGCTGTTAGAAAAAAGACATAAAATAAATACTTCTACTAGCTATTATTAAGTCGGAAAGACAAACACTGAGCTGAACCACGGGCATCGATTCATAATGTTTGTCAGCGGTATTATTCATATAAGATAATGTTTATTCATTCTATTTACAGTAAAAAATAGTACACTAGATCAAATCGGAAAAAAACAAATCTGTATACGTCTTAACTAAAGAAATACTCAAGATTTTCGTAAGTCTATTACATATATTTAGGGTTTGTACATAATAATCGTTAAAACTAATTCTGATGGAGAACTTGATAATTTAATAATAACTACTGAAATTCAGGCCTCAGCGTATCTTCAATAGGCCGTATATACAATATAAAATTTCATTATTTGGTCATTCATTTACATGAAAACCGTACTCAAAGTCCCTTTTTATCGTTAATTTGTGTTAAGTATATAAACTTAAATATATTTCGCTTTAAGTATTCCGTTAAGTTACATATGAAATGTACAAGCAACGCTTAAGAACTTACAGTTTGATTATCTTGATCAACGTAGCGTAGGCCAAAATAGGCAGTTTCTAAAAGATCCAGATGTCTAAACACGACATCTAGTAAAGCCTGCCCCGTATTGTTATCCTGTAACAAAATGATATAATAAAAATAATTGCTAACACACTCACTTACATAGGTACCTATCACTTTAATATTAACAATTTGACAGTTACAATAACAGCACATAACGAACGAGAATATTGCATAAGTGATTGCATAATAAAAAATAAATCGATATCGCTTAATTAGAAAGCAAGAACGTCTCTATTGAATAAATTCATCTCCCACGGTATCGGCACGAGACTATCTCCAATTAGCATTTCTTGATGCTCGGCTTTCCACAATTAGGGTGATCCGCACGCGATGCTGCAGGACCAGAAAGACCAGTAGTTGGCTGCCAATGATACGATATTGGCAACATAATTGACGGCTTTGAGTTGATCGCTCTGGGTTTAAAGCGAGCTCTCATGCGCACAATTTGCGTGAGTTCTTATGTTCTGCGTGACGCGAAAATCACACACTGCAGACGGAATTATAACATATCGTCCATTTGGTCGTCATTCTATAAGTATAATTTGTTTCAACGTGAACAATGTATAGGTTTTTATACTCTTCTGTAACCAAGGTTAATATAATATAAAATTGTATACCTAATATTATTCTGAATAACTAAGACTCAACTTTTAAAAAATTTTAATCGATATGATAAAATAGAATGCAATCGTTTTTGAATTTATAAAAAGTAATATTACTTTAGGTATAAATATAAGCAACAATAATAAGTAGAAACTTCCTATTATACTCTACATAGAGAATAGGTAAAAAGAATTGTCACAGGTTTGATCCAAGTAATTTTCGCCTTATCTCCATTTCATGTAGTACATAAAATTTCCGGTCTCTAGTTCTAGATTCAGTTATTAAGGTTAGGTTAGTTAGTTTCTAAATTGGAAAATTGCTGTGTTGGTGTTCAATGATAATAGTAAAGCTAAGTGTATGTGATCGGTTATAGTAGACGTAACTATAATTTTAACCCAATGTACGAGTAATAATAAAAAGTGAATATTAAATACATTATAAGGCTATTTGCGGTCCCAAACTACAATATTTATGTAAAATTCTCTTATATGTCATAGCTCAATATTTCTATAAGTAGCTTTTTACTATGACTTCTTCCGCGCGAATGCGTTACCTTTCTTTCCTATGGGAATTTCGGGAAATCCTATCTAAGTGGGTGGTTACGTACTAAAATATCAAGTTTATTACACAGTCCTTATAACTGTGCGTTAATAGCCGGACAGTAAGAACATAATACATAGATATCTAAGAGTGTAATACACGTAGACGTAGAACTCTCTAAAAATTACAGTAGAAATTTCAATGACCATTGCAATGTAACGAAAATGTTGCAATTTTCAATATATCAGATTTATCTTTCATATCTATTTGTTTACAGTTGAATTCTTCCTCTTTGAAAATGAAACTATAACACTATATACATCAATTTATTTGTTAAGATTGTCACTAAGCATACAATATTATATTAGTCGAATGATGATCATCGGTAATATACCCAATTCAAAATCGAATGATCCATACGTGGCTCGTCCAATTCAAAACAATTAAGTGTACGGCTGCCTGTAGGAGCCTGCACTGGCTTATGGGAAAATTGCAAAACAGTTCGTTGGGTTGAATAATAAATGATTTAATAACAGAGCCCGTTTTGCTCCCAGCGTACGTTCAGCACGAAAAATAACAAACGATTTCAAAATCCGGCAGCAGTTGATGTAGATATAGCGTTGCGCATACGCGATACCTACCTACGTTCTCATATGTCGGCGCTGGGCGCCTGCAGGGCATTGTCAGTGAACAATCTATGTATTTATTTACTTTGCACTATAAACAGTGTTGTAGCTTTAACGTTTTTAAACATATTTAAACTTGCAAATTTTGTAAATAGTAATTTGTAATAGTTTGAGACATCTACTCAAATTGTGTAATTTGAAATAAACTCATTTTAGATTATGCCAATTGTTCTCTCTGCTCTGGAGTGTTATACAAAAATAGAAATATTTCTTTTAAAGAAATATTTACGTTTATTAATTAAAAAGCAGTAGTTTTTATTTCCACGTAGTCTGTCTACATGTACTAATGTAAATCTAATATTCTTTTATAGATATGTAGATAGAGATCTATGAAAGAATATTGGATTGCCTTCACTTCAGAAGCAGCCTAGGATGAAATACAATGAAGACGGCGTTAATAAAGGGGAATGAGGCACTAGGTGCACTTACGCAGTAGACCGTGAAATGCTGTCGAGTCAATTTGCCGCCGCGACAACACAACACAATGACCTCCACCTCCAGTTCCCGACACTAGGCTCGTTCCATAAATTGCTGTGCAATTCCTTGCCTTCCTCTCTAGAATCCGATCCAAATAAAATAGAGGCGAGGCGTCTAACAATTTTCACGAAACAAAAGTCTAGTGCAGTAAGTATTGCTCGCAGCAGGTTTTGAAATTCGAGATTTTTAAAGCAACACGATTGGTTATTATTTTATTATTATTTTATCTTTACGATTTATACGTACTAACTTCTTACTAATATATCAATATGTACTGACTTTCACGCAAAAAGTACTGAATGGTTTTTGATGAAATAAACTTTCATTTAATTTAAGTAACTTAAAGTGACTTCTTGAAATATGTACTTATATGGTCTTAGCCTTACTACTATTTCTGTTATAGATTACTTATTATCTAGTCAGTATTTATAATATAAAAATTATTTATCTTCCAATGCTACAAGGATACAACGATTTGTAACTACTTATTCGTAATTTCTTACCTATTTAAGTATGTACATTATACAGTAATCTATAGAAATTATTATGAATGGAATACCTATTCATTTCAGCTTTAAGCAGTACTGTCGAATTATTTACGCGTCTCGTCTGTAATCTTCTATAATAAACATAATGAGTATTATTTCGGATAGTTGTGGACTCCGCTCGAATATTTTAATCGGATATCATTATTAGTTTGCATGTATAATACTTGTAACATCATATATATCTTTGTATATTATTACTTTGTCCATGTCCTTGCTTCACTTTGTAGTACTATAAATATTGTCTAATATGCGAAGGTAAATAAAAAATTAAAGTAACTTAAATATATATCTTGCTTGCTTCTATAGTCATAATATATCTTGGTATTTTCGTGATGTGGAAGGAAAATAGTTGTCGCGGGAACGTCTGAGACAAATGTCCCTTTATGATAGGGAAACTGTAAGGAAAGGACGGCGATTTATCTAAAATATCCATACAATTTAGCGAGAAACGTCGAACTCTCGTCGCTTCCACTTTACCCAAATTGGATGATTTTAGCCCAATATATCTTGAGAATTTGTTTGAGGAACAAGTTTGGGATCTTCGTATGGGCCAAACAAAAGCATTTCTGGGATAAATTCCACCGTTGTTTACGGTTATGACAGGGACATAGGCAAGTGTTATCTGAATAACTGTGGAATTCTCGAAGCCGAAGTTTTGGAAATAATAGAGATTGTGTGCGTAAGTAGGTACTTAATCAGATGCCTTGTAAATTGACATAACTTTTAGTACGAAATGGCGATCATATGATCATATGACTTATTTATAGAGGGTATATATTAAATGTTAAAGATTGAAAATTAAGTTTTATTGTTTAATAAACTATTTTCAAAGGAAGTGAATAAATGTTTATAAAATATTTCTGTATCATGGTTTTACACAAATAAGTATGTTAATTAGCCATGTTTATTGAAGTCAGTTGTTTGTGATATTAAATACATTTAAAATATTCTATAAGCAGCGTTATCTTGAGAACAGATTGTATACATTATAGGTATTATTATCTATCTGTATAAAAATTTCATTAGAATTCATCTAGCAATTTGTGATTCAAAAATCTAAACTTTACAAGCAAACAATCGAAAAAAAATTTCACGCATATTTTGATTTAGAGATTTAACTAGTTGATAGAGAGGAGAAAGAATTCTCTTACATCGCTTATAGCGTGGGCTAGGTATGACAAATTGCGAATAACGTTTGTACAAATGTGGGGTGTCACAAGTAGATGTCGTCTAAGTAAATACTAAGGGCAAGTACGGACATGAGATGTGCGGCCGAGGACGCTGTTGGTAGTATAGGGGTCTTGGCGCCTGGACTATTGGCGTACATTGCTTGCGAGTTTGCGAGCTACTCTCACATTCACCACGCAACGACAATGCCAGCCAAATAGAATTTAATATTCATAGAGCCGACGTACGATTCAGTGAATTCATCCGCACCTTAGACCCGGGCTTCGCATATAAAAGACCTTCCTTGAGCCCCTGGGTGTGCTTCAAATAATTCGTCTCGGAATGGCTCCACTTGAAATGTGAGGGATGAAAACGAGAAAAGTCTCGTTGTTTTATAGATATGAGAAAATTGAAAAATGCTATCGACGCCCGTCGGGACGGCCGCTCCGGCAAAGGTCGGTTTTCGAAATAATCCCTCGCCAATATCGGCCACATACAAGAAAGGTATTGAAGTTATATTTAAAAGAAAACATGGAACATGGCTGCTGAATATTTATTAAAAGTTGTGCATTGGAACAAATCACGAGTTCTTGTTATAGGAAATGGTATAATATAGCTATTAATGAACCCAACCTCACTATACTTATAAAAAAGGCGCTCAGTAGACAATGTTTAATTAAGGGACTACCGAAAAGAGGAGGTTCACAATTTGCCTATATATTCTTTATGTTATTTTTTGTGTATATGCTACATATTAGGTACATATTTAAAAAAAAAATTAAAAGTATTACGATAATGCTTTTTACAATAGTGTTTATGTAACGACAATTAAACAAACCATATAGGGATACTAATCACATATAGAATAATAATATATTTTGACACGTATTAAATTCAAAGATTTAATATTTTTATTTGTTCTTACGGTACAAATCTTAATTTTTATTTTAATATTAGAAAATATATATTATACAACAATTTTATTACCTGCAACTACTGAAAGCGGACAGTGTTAGATATATTATAAGAATTGTATCTTACTGTTACGCATGGTAATAATTATTATATATATATATAATAGAATAGAATAGAAAAACATTTATTCAAATAAACTTACATTGAAGCACTTTTTAATAGTCATTACATTTTTTTTAATCTACCGCTCATTCGGAAAGCTGTGTCATCACAAGAAGAACGAGCAAGAAAACTTGCGTGTTGCTCTTTTAAATAATTTTATTATTACTTTACATTTTTAAGTTTAAGTGTGTGAATACAAACCACCAATTAGCACTAATTCAATTAAATACTCAAATAGAAAAAATATTGAATATATAACCAACTGGTTAAACAATTAATAAGAGGAAATCAGTCATAGTGATTAGAGCAGACCAGTCCCTACAAGCAGCACCCGTTCACGAGTATAACGGATGAGCCAGCCATCACTGCGCTCGACCATATTTTAGGGAGCCCAATGACCCGGCCCACCACGCCGCCACAAGTCTGGACATTTTAGTGAGCATGACTACTCAAAACACTAGACCACCTCAAAGCTACTTACAATTACTTTATATATATACATATATTAATCTCGCATAGCGGAGATTAGTTCTAGTTGTAATATTATCTTGTCTGTGACATACGATTAAACACTAAGTAGAAAAGATAGTATCTACTCTTTCTGTAAGGCTAAACATATATCGAGATTTTCTTCATTTAAATTTATTGTTTTCAGGTGGCGCGTCTTTCGATATCTTAGCTACAAAAAAAGTATAAAAAACAATGAAATGCTGTATTCCGAGTACGTCGCTACAAAAGTTCATAAAGTTAAGACTAGGTGTTAACTATTAAGTTACAATAACATAAATAAATATTATATTATATTCCATGTCACATTCAAGATTTATAGTTTATGATGCATAACTTCGTCCTTGAGTAATCTATCTTAAAGCCGTAAATATATTCGTAGTGTTTTTATTTTACTCGTATTTCTAAATTGCTGTAAAATTTAATCATTTTGGGACTGTGAAACCGTTTTATTCTTATATAATTTGGTCTACAAAACCCTTTCAAATTTAATAAAGTTGATAATAACTTTTTTCGATTTGAGAACGGAATGAGAGAGCGTTAAAATGTACCTATAGTCTTACATTTATATATATTATTTTTATTTCACGCATAAACTGGCAAATAGGATATCTTTCATAATATTATAAAGCGACTAAATCATGAGACAATTTGGTAAAGGAGTAAAAATACAAAAGTACATGGAAATAAGCGGCTAAGAGAATAAGCCAATTAAATCGTTGCAAATAGAAGGAAAACCCAAAATAAAAATCTATATAGCCACTATAGGCCACCATGATAATATTAGGCCCAATTTTAGTGAGAAGTGGAGAAGGTTCTTGTTATTATTGACGTCCTACTTGGAAATACTTGTACTATACGAAATAAAAATTACCTTGCCTTAATTATTTAGATTTACTTCTATTTTAATTACATCATCTAATTTAATTACATTTCATGGATTTTCCTAAAATATCCTACTTCAGTTTTCTCAAAATTAGTAGATCAATAGCCAGTAATATGTACAGACCTTAACGCAAAAAAAAAAACAATTGGTCTGAGATATCCTCAAAAAGCCATAATGTAATTTATATATGTACATGTATGTAGAATTTACACAAAAGTTTTTTAATTATCGTAATTATTTTTTAATTTAGTCCAGTCTCAATTTGCTTGATTGCCACCATCGTGGTATAAAATCAACTGTATAAATTACACGCAATAAATCGTTATAAAATAATATTTCTTGCCTGTATCTCATGGAGAAGCTCCCTTTCATCCAGCAATACAACGCGACAAGCCAGCGTGCGTGGCGCAGGGCACAAGCATTCCATCATCTTTGCGCTGTCGGGAGCACCCCTCTTGGCGCCTTCTGAAATATATTCTTTATTAACATTCTATTTTTGTCTCATACAGATATTATATTCGTAAATGAAAAGGTCTCCAGTGTACTGTAAAATAGACGTGAGAGCGTAACCAAATTTTACAGCAGATGTTTAAAAAAGCGTCTCGTGTAAGATTTGATACTCAATAAAATTAACGAATTTCTATAAAAGAACAAAATTTTACTTCGTATAATATATAAGAACTGTACTGTTTCACATGCAAAAGGATATGTATTTTTCTTCGTAATATGTTATTTACATGACAATATCGGTCCAACTAAGGTTTTAATGAAGTTGTTAATAAACAACAAACTCACTTTCACATTTATAACATAATTGTAATTTTTTTCTTATATACTGCTTCAACTTTCTTGTGATGAGAATATATTTTTAAGGTACCTACATTTTGTTTAGATATCACGTTGTTTCGCATCAAAGTACATCATTACATATTTAAATGACAATTTTTTAAATAAATATCGTCTATCGATTTATTTCTTTTTGATATTTGCCCATATTATATTTGTATTGTGTTTAGTGTAATTTATACAGAGTATTACATATATATATATATATAACATAAAATTGCATGGTGTAGTAACACTATCATGAATTCTGTTACCCTATTGTAAAGGCATAGTTCACCACTTGTATTCTACCCACAAAACCAGAACTACTTTGAAGTCAATTACAGAGTTATTTGCAGCCAGACTCAATAGTAAAATCACCAAAGGGTTGGTCGAAACCAAATATATCCTCGTTAAAACTTAGTCTGTGGAGTGAGCGCGTTCGTGAGTCGGTTTTAACAATTTTATTTTAATTAGTAGCAGCGCCCTCTACGCAAATTTGATTCATGAAGTTTTTTGCTGCCAGAAACAATTTCCACTGTACGGACCTGTTGACAAACTTGTTCCTATAAGTTTGTCCGATGCTTATTTATTTGTAGACGTAGCTTTTTTTAACTTGTCCAAAAAAAGGGTATATAGTCATAAAACAAGTTAAAATAACTATATTCTTAATCAATTTAAGCTGAAAGCAGTTGTCATCTAATTTTATGTTCTCTTTATTCAACTACAGGGATCTCTAAAATATATTCACGTTTCCTCTACTAAATAGTAATTTGCCCGACATAAACTTCAAAAATTACTTTCACCCTCCCATTGTACTCTGCCAAAGTTTGCTCGTGGCGTCCATTTTCGACATGAAAAACAGTACTTAGAAACAATGACTGTGTTTTTTCCAATTGGAATTTATTTGTGTACTTGATAAAAGTTGGAAAACATAACAATGCCAGCAATGTTTTTTTATTATTTATTTATTATTATTTTTATTTTTATATACGAAATTCGGCTAATAAGTGATACTTATTCCATTTTGGAATATATATTCATTCCATTTTGGATTATTATAATAAATTTTATAAATTTAAACTAAATAAAATATCTTTATCAAGTATCTACAGTTCTACACTGTCATCCCGTAAAATCTACACAACAAGAAGTTTCAAGCAACCGAAGAAACTAAAAACTTTAGGGAAACAAACAACAGACACGGCAATACGAGCCATTAATCCAAACGATCCCGACGGAGATTAGTGCTCCCTCTGTTGACCCCACACCCCACCTCATACAGAAAACATTTTCCCGCCATTGTCTGAGCAGAAAGCAAAAAGAAGATATGCGATTGACAACGTAGCTGTGCTCTGCGACGAGGCGAGGCACTGAACGACAGTGCGGGACATAAGACGCGGTTTCCCGCCCTCCAATCGCGTAGCAATTTTTCTTTTGTTCATTCGAGATGCCCGCGATATTTCTGTACTATTAGATACAGCACTGCACCAATATTCTCGCCCAGTCCCCACGCCCACAGTAACTTTGTTTCATACTAATCACTTGGATTCTCACGAATGTCATTTCCCATGTGACCCGCATGCATCATGTAACGAAACCAACAGAATGAGGTTCATTTCATTTCTGTTAAGTTATTTTTATTGATAATATATTTGTATAGTAGATGTGTTAGTAGAATAAATTAAATATTATTGGCTATTGAAAATGTTATTGTTTTCGGATGATTTTATAATATCATATCGTCATAGTTATACAATCTACTTTCTACTCTTGAATATTTTTAGTAAACATACACATATATTCTTAGATTACAGGTAATATTAATGATGTTTAAAAAATAATTAGGCGTTCATATATAGGTAGGACACAGCCATTTTTTTATTTCATATTCTATATATATGTATATATATATTATTAGTTTATACCTATACAGTCTACAAGTAAGTACATTATAGTTTGTATCGAAAGTCTACGAAAAACTATAACAAGTACACATTATATGAAATCGTAGGAAATAGTTAGAATCATAATAAAAGAGAATCCAGATTATATCTAATTTTGTGCCCGCTGTATTCTCAGAAAAACGAACATGACCCGGCGACAATTACCGCTTCGTCTGTGGGACTGCGGTCACTGGTCGTTTTACTCTTATTTACTGTATTTGACTGTTATTTTGTTATTTCACCACAACCACTGTATAAGTCTCTATATCTTACCATGCATCCATCTTACCTTGCCATGCATATTTTTAATACTAGACCTTTTCAACTAATGATAACACCAGGAATGGCACATCATCATATGACGTCAGTGGTACCTTTAATGCATTGCCATACGACGCGACGACTTTAGTCTGAGGGCACCGCTAGGGGTTGAACCTCGGCTCAGATCGTCGCAATTTCGATCTCCGTATCCCCTGGAAGCAAAGCGGAGAAGTGAAGATAATTTTATATGTCTCTTATAAATAAAATCTTCACCTAAGCAGCACGACCACTGGACCTATGTAGTAAGTAACTTCATACTACTAAAATTGACTAACGAGTAAGTCAACAAAAAATATCTAAGGATAACAAAAATTGTTGGTTATGATAGAAATGTTATTGATAAGCTTAACCGTTCGCACCTAGTGAACGGACGCCGGCGCATGCCGACACGCGCTTGCTTGGCGCATACTGATGACACCAGAATCATGACGCCCTTGCCCGGCCCGCCTGCTCAACATACTACCATAACAAGGCTTTATTATGAGAATAATATCTGTGATGGAATACATATAATATAGCTATTTAAATTAATTATGTTTTGTATTGTGTTTTTAAATAATACTTTGGATTCATTAAGAAAAATCAATAGGTTTTTTAAACAAAACTATCCGAAATCTTGAAATCAAACCAGTAAGTAGTACATTTTAAAAATGAGTAATTAGTTAGAATTTGCTTGTGCTAATATAACTACCACAAAAGCAATAAGCAAAGGACAGTGTTAATTTGCTTACCATTTTTGTGTATTATAATGCGTTATTCGAAAAAAAAAATGATATCCCTTTATAGTACTTACGTACAGTTACATAAATATTATATCCAAAAATATTTACATTTTCCAGGAAAAAAGGGTTAACATTATAAGGTACAACAACATAACTGATACGAATATCATTATTTTTATTTTAAATCATAGTTTCATTTCATATTGCAATTTATTGTCAATCTTTTTCAATAGATTGATGCATAAAATATTGATAGCATCATTTTATCTGTTTGAAATGGGGAGTTAGAAAATTAAACTACGAATATCAAAGTAGGTAGTAGATTGGCCACAATATAGAGTATTATATTTATACTTATAACCGTGTTTGACTAACGAAACGTAAATATTTCAACTCACTGCATGAATTGTAACATTGCAACTAAAATATACAAACCACGTTTTACGATTTCAAATTAAATGCATCTATTGATTAAATGACTTTTTCATATAAAATGTGACGAAAAGTGAAATAATAATAATAAAGATCAAATAAAAAGTAAATATTTATTCAACGTAACAAACAATAACTAAATTTTCGTGTTGTTCTTTATTAAATAACAATTTGTAATGAAAATACTACAATTATAATATAGAAGCAGCGATTAATAGCCCTGGATTTTATTAAATCTGAAATAATTTTAAGGCTTATTATTTTCTCGAGTTACGGAATTGTCCATGCTCCGTTAACGTTTTGCTATTAAGTAAAATTATCCAGCTCGAATTTTATAGGGCTATAACATGCACGTATAAGCTCTTAGCCGCATATATACCTATTCATAAACTCGTGTTATGTAAAATGTTACAAAACAAATTGATCTCAGAGGTCCTATCTCGGCGAACGGACGTCTTAAAGTTTGCATAATACAAGCCGCACTTTTCTCCAATCTGAGCGATAAACCGGCCTAAGTCTCTAACGCAAGGTATTTATGTATAGGGAAAACTATCTTTTACTTTTTTAAATACTGTTTTCTAACTTTTTGCACAGTTTACAATATACACACACAAACACACAGATATACGTTGTACGCACATTACAAACATCTTGGTCTCGGATCATTGAAGATGGCGGTAGATGTACTAGATTTCGTAGTACATATTTTTACACCGACACCTCTACTACTTGATCGTCACGAAAATACACATCATATCACAACTACTTTAGGAAGTATAAGTATAAGATGACTTTACACTTTTGGTTTCTTTTCTTCAATGCAATTTTGATATATTTATAAATTTTGATTTCCTTTCAAAATCCACCCAGTAATTCGGTCCCAATTCCATAAATTTAACTATAGGACTAAGCTTGTTTCAGTTATTATCCATTACTGCTTTGATATTTGCTCCCTAATAAGATACGATACAGCTCGCTTGCTTTGACCTATGTATGATCTGCCGCACCTGTAATCTATTTTATATACACCAGGGTATTCCAATAGAATTCCGTCCTTTGGATAACGTAAATCTTGTGAGATTTTGTCGTGTGAAGTAAATGTGGTCAGGATTGCGGTTTTACTTAGTAATCGACCGGTTTTATTTTAAAATTTTTACAGATAATATGAGCATTTCTAAGATATTATCATGATAAATTAAAATAAAATAAAGTATACAAATTGTATAAACGGGTAGATCTATGATTTAGATACAAGACTATCCATCCATCCATCCATCTCTATCAGGTAAGACTGCGGAAATAATATCTTGTTATTTGTTTGTTTTTATAGTTGTTAATATTCTAGTTTTGCTGTAGCTAATTACGAAAAAAGAATATACCCTCGAGAGCATAATTGTGGCCGAAAAGGAAATGAAAACAATATTCGAGAGCATGTTTATTATTTTTATTTTTCAACTGCTTACAAAGAGTGTAGTGTATTTTATTTCCCTCGTATAAAGTTAACAGATGACTTGGATCCGAGTGGTAGCTTGGATACGAGCCAAAAACACAGTTGCGAATTGCTTGCGAATGACATATTATAGTTTACATGCGAGTATGTGTATATTGAACATTGCTAAACTGTGAAATGTGCTACGAATATTAAAGAGTTGACTAAACAAAAATGATATACCGTCTCTTGATCGATACAGGTAAAATATTTTTGTATATGATACCTTAATCGGTGCTGACTCAGAGATAATCTGTTCAAACTTCCAAGCACTCGAACGCTTCAACGAAGAAACTCAACCTTTTTTTTCGAAATTAGTAGGTACATTTATTATTATGAGTAATTTCTTGACTCTCAAATTATGGCAGGTAGCCCGCGGCAGTGCCGCTCTCGACTCTCCGCGCTGGACCACAATCAACGCACCCGTACGGTCCATGTGAAGGCTCACCTCCGCACTGCTTCATCTCCGCCCACAGTTTAACATTTTTTAACTCGTCTGGGAATTAATACTAGTTCGGTATATTGTTTATTATGTAGCATAGTAATTATAATGTCGTTACTATTTTCTACCTTGCCGAACTGAGTCGTTCTAACATTCTATTGTTATCTAATTTAGTAAAAAGGTTCATTGACTTAAAATTGAATTACTAAAGACGTTGTGATACTGTCACTAACTGTGGACTTTATATTTAATAAATAAGAATAATGTTATGATAACTGCTAGCTCTGTACAGCTGTTTTATATTTGCATATCTAAGTTAATCCCTTAGTACTATTATGTAATTATTAAAACAAGGCCACTTCTAATGCCTTCACTATGTATGATCCTAAGCTTTACTCAATTAGATAATTTTAAAATTTCTATTCATGCCATAGATCACAGACTTTTAGTTGTACCCCCTGCCCGGGTATAATTTACATTAGTCGCTAATAATATAACTGAAAGAATATTCAAGTGGTAAGTAAAAATTATGAAGTAAAATCAATGATGGATTTATTTTTTTCAAACTAAGAAGAAATAAATTAAAAACATAAAAAATCAACCCGTTGATTGGTTACAACTTTCATCTCAGTGATCGTAAGTATCGCCAACAGCAATGTTGTGTCTGGTCTGAACACCTTTCCAGTAAGCATTTAACCAGCAAGCGTTTATATAAGAGAAAGAAAAAAATCTATTAACTATTGCCACACTCGTTAAGCCAGTTAGTTTATTATTAGTTTATTTCCAGATTTCCTTATCGAGATTGCACTTTGTTCCCCTGGTCGTCTGTGGTTAATCTCAAACTCAATAAAGAGCAGTAAAGAGTTATTCATATTTGTATAAAGAAGAAACTGAGTTTATCAGTTTTTTATGTCTTGCCTGGGCATCTCTGTTAATCTCATTAAATTTGTAATAAACCTAGTACACGCCAGTAAGATACATATATTTAATTAGAGATAGAATATACGTCACAGAAACAACTCGGATACAGACAATGTCTCTAATTAAACCTTATAGGTATGAGATTACAATTGAAAGTAGGTAGTTAATACTGTTATCTTTATATATATGTAGATACAAAAATCATAACAAGGCTTCGTGTTTTAAAGTTTCCATAAAAACGGCCATTGGAATTAAAATTTCATTTTCACAAAATATGTTCTTAAATATGTAAGTAATGTTATGATTCAATAAGAAATCTACCATTATACTAATTAATAAAATAATAGATAGAAACGTATCTATATGTTTCATTTATTACTGTCGTTTGATTAAATAATACACTCGTATAATATATACAAATGTACACAAACATAGCATGTTACGTAAATTGGAACAATGTAGATATATATACGTAATATCTACATTGTACAAGTGCAGTTTCCCGTCATAGCTTGAGCTGGGATACCGTATGAAGGAGGAAATTGAGAGGTCGTTACTTTTTTGTGACGCATTAATAGCAGCTTTAATTAAAAAGTTGCAGTTATTTCATAAGGTCTCACGGTGCTTTTGTCAGCTTCATTCTGTACCGGGATAACGTAGAGAACATTTTTTTACAATTTGTCTGTCGTTGATTATCGTTGAAATACTTGATATTAGATTGTTCATTTTCATCGAAGGTGTTTGTGGTCATCAATTTAGTATCAATGTTTTGTTATATGTATGAACGAAATTAATTACATTCAGTTTATATTAAAATATAAAGAGAATGTATTTAATTTTGTTCACCGTGTAAAACTATACTATATTCAACCTACAAACAATTTAATAGGATGATTGTTTAATTGTCTACTAATTATTTATTTAGGTTACTTGACGCACTAAAAACGAAGTAGATAATTAATTTTAAATAATTTAATTCCTTCTTACTACTACAAGAAGTAATGCACCGTGCTTCTTTATAGAAATATTACAGATGTATTTAACGAACAACTTAAAATTATTTTGTAAGTCTTTTTATATGTAAGATTGTAAAATCTAAATATCATTAATGTAATGCAATATTCACGATTAACATATTCTGCTGCATGTTCCTGCGCTACTCCACCTGTGAGTGAGCAACTAACGAAGAACCCCTCAGAAACTTTGTTTTACGTAAGCACCGCACTCGCTTTGTGAATTAAAAGCGGCGCTCCTTTCGCACTAAAACGCCCCTTAATGAAATGCGATCGTCGCAAATTCGTCTAAATTTCCGCAACAATGAACAGTATGCCAGACGCCGTTTCGCAATCGGCGCGTTACTCGTCCGCCCGCATAACGAGAGGTTAAATTAAATAACAACCAAACTTTGAGAATTCCCAGAGTGTCAAGAGTATGAAGTACTCTGTATATAACGTAAATCAGTATAGCTATATTAGTTCGATTCCTATCGAAAGTTCCTGACCACAAACTGCTTGTGACGGGCTTAGAAACTATGAGAGACTCCTTACATGCTTCTTGATAGCTTCTTCCTCAGACTATCAGTATGTACCCACTTCGTCGCATATTAAATATCCAATGTTCAAATTTATTTACTTATTACCTACTTAATATTTCTTGAGTAATAGCCTAGCGTATATATATATATATATTTAATTGTACATATATATTACTGCCTTGATAAAGTAGTTTTATCGGTTGTATAAACAAATTCGTATTTAATGTGACCAACTTATGGTCTACCAGCAAATTCTAGTATAAGAAATAAAGGTTTGTTAGTTCATCCAGTTTCTAGCCAACGTCACCTAGATACTTAAAAATGCAGAATATCCAGTAAGTTAATGAAACAAGGTAAGAAAATGGGAAATAACGTTGTTTAGAGTGCTATAGTGAAAATACCAACACTTTTGGAATAGTAGAATTCAAGGAAGCCTAGTTGTTCAACCTCTTTACACGCGGTATTTATTCGGTGTGCAGATTTTACTTTTAAGTCGAAAAATAATGGGAATACAATCGATATTAGGATGAAGTAGTTTCTTATATTACAATATAATGGGGACATGTAATAAGATAAGTAATACTCTTAAACTGAGCTAATTAATTATGCACGTACTCGTAAAAATAATTCAAAATTTGATTGTAAAAGGAAGGGACAAGGCCATCAAAATTTCTGAAATACTTAGTAGGCATACAATAATAGGCTATTAAAATTATAATACTATATAATTACTTACTAGATTTCACTATTAAAATTGAATATAACGAAGCGGTGTTACTATTAGTACGCAAACTCTTCCAGACAACCTTAGCCGAAATTTCTGACAGTAACAATGTTATTTAGATGTTATGCAGGCCGTTATAAGAAAAAAAGTCAATTTTATATAATAAAATCAATCAAAATCATCTGATATTCAGTGCCTATTTTATTTCGTATTAAAGTTTTAACAATTAAGTTATATTTAAATAAAATACATCGAAATTCTTTTGTAAATCGCCCAATCTAATCTCAAATAAAATTGATTTTTTTAACAAATCATTTCGTGTTTTTCTTGCTATATTGTTGTGATTGCTATATTAATTATAAAAAGATACCAATGGTACTTAGGAGTAGATAGAGATATAACCATTTAGGAATCACAGTCAAAGTAGTCTAGATATTTCAGTATAGCTATTCTTCTGAAAGAATAGATAGCTATTCTGAATTCCATACGGAAAGATAAAATAATCAATTATTAGTAATTTTAGACTAAACAATTCGGGCTAGGTATGCTTTTGAAAATAACAATAAGTCATCCAAAAATGACATCCATTTCATGTGGACGATTATTGGACTGGGGGCGCTTTGACGGACACGATTCAATCTGGTAATCGGAAATGGGCATTGTGCAACAAAGAGTCTTTTGTCCCCCACAGAGCACCGGCCGCGCCCGCGCTACGGCCTGCCTCGTCGGCCGCGAATATTCATGATCATTCATGACCATCATGATTATATTCCGCTCACACAGATGTACCTACATATTTGTAATCATACGCTCTACCATATCAGACAGATTTATTCAATTATTTTATGATATCTATGAAATAAATATATTTGAAACATAATTATTCTTTCCTAATTTTCCATTCTTAAAGAATTATTAAGATATATTAATCAAATTAAATCACTAAAGGAAATAAGATTATATTCACAATAAGTGCATGTTAGTTGTTTAGGAAAAATAAATATAGGTTATAGTATAAAACTTCATAATATAATTAGGACCCTAACTATTAAACATATGTTGGTACTTTAATTCAAATTACCTGAGTAGCAACGACTAGGAGATGATTGTCAAACAAATGCTCTAATTTAGAAGTCTGTAGCTTAAGTCATCTATAAAAGGTATCCAGGAATTTAATTCACTGAAAGTATTAAGAAAAATAATAGATAAGGATGGAGTTAATTATTTACCACATTACTCTAATTTTATACCAAAGGAATGTCATGAAAATTGCTATATATGGACAATATTTCCTTATCCGGGATATGGTATACAATCGAAGTCGAGTAGGCTTTTGATTATGGCATTAAAATTTATAGATCAAATAATTAAAAGTTCGGGACATTTATAACAATATGTATTTATGTACTTACTACTATACTGATGTGACACTATGAAATTATGAGGTACAAGTTAATAATTAATAAGTAGTTAAAAGTAAATAAACGTGCACAAAGGATATATGTTTAAGGTACATAAAATCAACAATATTGTATAAAACCACCTAATAGAAGAAGCTTAAAATGTCTTCACAAACTGTGGACAAAGGAGTCAGGAGCGTTTGAAGTGGGTAGCCCAGTAAGTGGACCGAGATTTACAAATCTCCATTGAGGACAAGAGGACACTTGACCCTTTTGCTTCGACCGTGCAGTTCCTGACTCCCAAGTTTCTAATCAAAACTCTAATTTTGAATTGTGCAACAACAAAAGTTTCCAATACACAAATAATAGGTCATCAAATATGCTTTAGGATTTTGCTTTACTAGAATGATTTTACAAAAAGACACGAGACTTTGAGAGAAAGCTAATAAATGATATCGACCTCGTTATCATTGACAGCCCTGAGGCTGTTGTAAAATGGATGAAATATAGCGGTCTCCCAGGAGGCCATCGTGAAGAAAAGAAACTTTTGGTTATGATTAAAAACCGCGGCGTACATCTTAAATAGGCCCACAAATGTTTGCTAATTTGTTATTCAGCAAAGAACTTCATCACAAGGTACAGTTATATCTAATAGAAAAAAAACATGAAACTCAAAACCTTACCAAGTTTGTGTATTTTATTCTAATCGGTTTACAAACAAATGTCTAAATGTACAATCATAGGCAGGTTACTCATAAAAATGTCTATTATTTTTAAACTAATGTAGATTTTGTATAATTTGGATACACTCTCCACTGCATGTTAGTAAGTAATTACGTTTTTAAAAATCAAGACAATACCAGTACCTTACTAGAATAGTAACATTGTTCGATATTTAATTTAGGATTCGTTCCGGAAAGAGCATAATTAGATTATTGTCAAGGTGAGGTAATTGTTGGCGTGATTGAATGGATGCACAGCGTCCAATGCCGCGACGGAACGGCCACGGCGGCGGCAGCGGCGGCCATTCAACTCAGCGCTGTCAGTAGAATCGTGGCCTCGCACTCTCCGTATGGACTATACTGTACTCTACTATTCAGAATTAATGCAGATAATGTATACCGTGTATATTTATTTTGAATTAATTTGAAGTGGTATAAGAAAAACTTGCATAAACAAATCTTCATTAGTAACTAGTATGGGTACCAATACTCACGACTTAATAACAGTAAATCCGTTAGAAACATATTGGCATCTAAACTTCTATATGACAACATTAAAAATGTGTTTCGTCAGTGTTGGTTATTTTTGAATAATCAAAATTGTTGTATATATATTCTACAGAAAATTATTTAAGTACTTATTATTCGAGGTAACATAAAACGGAATAGTAGATTTTCTCCCGTGAGATTTCTTTCACACATAATGAGCTTTATTTCTAGACAATACCCTACTTGCTACGCTCCGGTACCCTTCTAAATTGACTTATCATCTACAATCTCATCTTCAATAAGATTGTAAGTATAAACGAGATCTTACGTTAATTAAATATGTAGACCAAAATTCAGCACTATTTCACAGAATTGTAATCCATGCGGGATTTGTGTACATCGTCTTTTGAGTTGAGCAAGACGATTTTGCACTTAAATCGTACTTGACGACATAACTGGCTGTGCCGGTATTATACAGTATCACTTCACAACACTTTCAAGTTAACATTTTAATTCGCAAACAATCGCACAACTCAACCTCAGTTCAATTTGACACCACAAGAGCACAACAAGTGTTATAAACAAAAGGGAGTTTCGCGAGCGCAAGTTGCGTGATCAGAAGCAGTGCGCCACCTGTCCCTATCACAGTGGCGAACACGTCTCAACTGCCGTCAACCGGCCGCCGGTGGCTTGCTGCTGACTTGTGTCCACAGATCCAGCTCACTACTACACTACTCCAAAGTAACTGAAATTGTCTTTACGCAAATACCACCGCTGCTCACGGAAATGGTCCTCCAGTATTATTCCAACAAACAAGCAATGTACTATGAATTATTTCTTGACACAAGAAATAACTTGTTTCGGAGTACGCATTGCTCTCCGTGGGAGGGAAAAGCTCCGCTTGCGCGTTCCCGGTTGACTTAAAATATAACTCCATCTGTTGGTTAATCACAGAACTAGTCTAAGTGCCATCTATCGTGTAATATTTGAACTTACTCTAAGGTCTTCGTATCCATCGTATGCTAAATAACAAACTAAGTAATCAGTCGTTAGAGTAATAACTTCTAACTTGTTTTAAAAATATATTATAGAGAGCGCTAGTAATTTTTCAGTTTATTTGATGTCTCATTAGTTGATTTCAGTTTATAGATTTAAATACACTATTTCTGTAACTATGTGATATAGTTAAAAAACATATAGATATATGATAAACATATGATAATGTACAAAACATAAAAATTCATTGTGTAAAACAAATATGCATATACAATACAATATATTATCTAGTAGAGTTCTGCTATATACTATTAAGTAATAAAGCAGTTACAAACAGATGAACAGTATCACGGGTCAAGTATACTCCATAAACGAGGCAAAGAAAGATGGATGCATTATGATTGAACAAATATATGATTGACTAAAGGCCTTACAGTAATAATCATCATTGCCTTGTCGTTTTCTATTGTTTGGGGGCGATGTAGTGTATTTCCTTTTACAACTGTTATCTTTAGGGCGTTATAATTGATTGAATTTACTCGTTCTTTATGCATATTTAAATGTTATGTTTGACTGTAAGGCGTATTTAGGATACATTTTATTTATTTACTTATTTTAGACAACTCAATATTATTATATAGCCTGCGTTATATGGGGGAATGTCCGTGTCTTACAGGGGCTTCTTGGTTCGGATTTAGAAATACTCACACTAGTCTTGTATTTTGATACTGACAGCACTTCTTCACAGTTGTATTCCGTATGTATATAGGTATGTAAATAGGTACAAATAGGTTCGATAACCATTTTATAAACCAATTCTCTATTGAGAATTTCTACCCAATAGCCAGTACAAATTCCTGTATCTGACATTGGTTTCATCCGAATTTCATAGATAATACAATATTTTAATGTGATTATTTTATTTATTGTTCTTCGCTATTATAATGTCTAAATAAAATGACATGACATGAATATATTATGTTAAAAAAGTGAAATAAATGAATGGCTAATTTATAATTTAATATTAATATTATAGTTAAACAGCTATTAATTTCCATAGTAAATGACTTATGCATGACTAATATTTTATAATAAATATCCAGTAAATACAATAGGGCATGACTCATATGAAACACTAAGGTATATTAAACACTTATTCGTATTCAATCAACGACAAACCTTAACTGGGAGTATCGTGTCGCCCTGTGACTCACTAGGAATGATGTTAAAAATAATAATTGCTTAGTATTCATTACAATAACCAGTAAACTGAGATAATATCCCAACACAAGTATTAGGTAATTGGCCTGAACCCAACTATGGATTTTTTTACGTATGTTCTGAAAAAATCATGCCTAAACGTAAACTGTATGTTTGTCTGTTTGTGTGTTATGATTTCAAGTAGTTGTTAAATATGGGTCAAAATATAGTAAAAAAACTGTACAAGGAACACATTGCTCTGTTTCCCTTGGTTGCATTTGATTTTGGCTATCCTGATCAGCAATTTTAAATACAATCTTTTATCAATAGAAGCGCAAAAAATTACAAATGATTAATTAATTTTTTAGCAAGTGCTTTGTTAAAAATTTAATTCACAACATTAATGTGTTATAATTTAATTATATTATTTCGCATTTATTTATCATTATAATAAAATATTTTGTATTAAACTATACTAACTGTTATTAATATGAACTTTATTAGGTAAATAACTAGGTGCATAAATTATTATATTAATTAACTATAGGTACATTACATTGTTTATTACATAAAATTATTGTTACTTAAAAGAGTGGTTTCTGAGATATAGAATAGAATAGATTTCTATTCAAAACCACATTATAACTGCTCATTAATACTATGACAAATACGAGTACATAATAATCAATGACACTCATCATACCTATTGTATGATTTGTAAAACTTGAATGGCTACCAATTTTATTTTATTGGAAATTAGTCTTCTTAGTTCCGTAGAGCAGAGTAAAAAAGTATATGATTAGACGATTAGTGGTAAAAATAATAACACCAGTGCAATGCCTTCCCGATCCATTCATTTGACAGGTACGAACAGTTTGTATGTAGTATAAAAGTCTTGTCTTCTTTTTTATATTTCATATTAACATTGAACTTTCCTTGAACTTATTCTAATATTTTAAAACCAAAATTAGTCAGTTTTAAAGATAATAAAAAAGTACAAACACATTTGATTGGGTTATAATGAAATAACAATGGAATAGATTTTGTCACTACATATTGTAATGCATTTTTTATATTAACTTGTTTAAAAAATGCCAACTCTGTGTCCAATCGATTCCAATGTAATGTGTAACTGGCATGTTATATTACGTTTATTGATCGAATATTTATATCGTAACAAAGTTGTACAATAAAACGGAAACAGGCCATTAAAAATAAAAAAATATTTTAACGCATCATGACGGCCTCGGTGGTCTAGGGCTTACTTCCGATGGTCGCGGGTTCGATTCCTTGCACGGCACAAATATTTATTTTCATGAGTATCGGTCTGGGTATTTGTATCAGTTATCTAGTACACCGGCTATAGCTAGCTTAACTTGGGATAAGATGGCGCTGTGTGAATTGTTCTGAGATTATTATTATTACTATTATCATTGCATTCCCTTTTTTTAATTATGCTAATAAATAAACCTATTGGATGTAGCAATCGTCATCAATAGACATGTGGTACTACAAAATCCATTGTGAGTCATACCTTCCCCTCGTATGTAGTTTATGACTATTAAAGTATTATGCTCATACCCTATAATTTCACTGACACTTTTCAAAAGGGAACATAATTTGCAAAGGTGCTTGGTAGCAGTAATAGTAATTCTCTAGACTTTATTTCTCGTTCAAAAGTATCTATAAAACTAGTACATAGGTAGTAGGTAAGATATCTTCTTTTCTTAAATATAACTATCGAAATGTATATGCAACGAAGCTAAGGAAGTTTTATTTGGTAATTTCAAATTTAGGCACTTTTATTAACTATAAGTACCTACAGGCTCATTGTTAAATAAAGTTGAAATAATAACTATTAAGTAGTTAAGGTTTGCTATATGAAAAAGAATTAAAAATTTTGCAATGCATACCGTATTGCAAAATATTTAATTCTTTTTCATACGTTTTCAAACTCATGACATTATATATATGTGCATATAAATATCAAGTGCAATAAATTGGTTAATCAAATATAGCCATTGCAAATCTAAACTATTCTTTTCCGTTTTGCATTTTATAAATATTTTAGCATTATTTGCCATTGAATAATACTAAAATTTTCTATGATATAATATGTGACGCTCACGGACTAAATTAACAGCCAAGTCAACCACTCCTGAGAAGAGCTATCTAAAAGGTTCATCGATGTGTTCTTAGATACTTATCTATATATTATAATTTACATAATATCATGCAATGGTCTATGAAGTGAGCCTTTAGCGTGTTTAAGTTCAGTTCAGACTAAGCGCAATCCCATTAATAATAAAAAAAATCACCAATGAGGACAGTAATAGTACACCTGTAAAGGAGAATTGTCAGAGTTAAAATACTAGACCTACCTGCATAAAATGTGGCAAAGAAAATCGTAGACGGAGATAAAACATAACATAAAATATATAATTTTATCAAAGTTTGATTAAAATGAAATTGTGAGTACCTTATAGATATAATAAAAGTATAGATATTCATACACAAAAATATAATTTTTCAGGAAATTTCTATTAAAACTCCACTCATTAGCAGTTGCTTTTAGAAGAAAAGAGGATGGAGTTATAAATAGATACAAAATTACATCATATAATACGTTAATATTGTGTAACGAGGTAGTTGAAGACGAAAGCGTTTGAGAACAATGTGTAGGTAAGTACGAGTATGTTACCATCCTTTCTGGTCCAGAAATTGCATCCGCCCTAGATGTGCGTACTCCAAGCTAATAGTGAAAGCTGTCTATTGTTGTACAGATGTTGTCTATATTGGGCTAGACGTAGGTACATTACGTAAATGCTAAAAAACAATTATCGTTAATGTTCCGTACATGCCTACATATAAAAAAAACAATTGCAGGCATTAACTTTTGTATGAATATCGAGTAGACAGCTACATAACTAATCACAAAATTATTATACTTTTTATTTATTATGTAATTTTTATTATAGTATTATACTTTTATGTCTATATAATATATTCATTATATTCTTTATGTAATTGAAATTATAAACAAGCAGACCTACCTATAGTAAGCGGTAACCGTCCCCTACATAGATACATATGTATGTACATTTATCTACGAATATGCAAAATACACTTCGAATAACACGCGATAACATGTGACCCCACAATACTACTCATGCGTTGCCATTCCAGACACTATACCATGTTTTTTATTCAATAATTAAATTCTATTTATTCTTTGTATAATTAGTCAGAGCATCAATGGTAGTGGTAGACTAGTCAATGATAATGATAAATACTGCATTTTTTACTACACACATTTAGTACACTAATTTACAATTTATAGATTTATTTTTGCTAAAATGTCTGTTCAGCTCATCATAATTTATTGAAACATTGTTTGTATTATTGAAGCTTTAAAGGGTTATTTTTTTATTTAGCTTTACATATATTGTTCTATAGTTCTAATCACCGAAATAATTAGC